ATAACATGTGGTATGTTGATCACCATGCATCATGACGATCGTATAGGCAGTACCACTATCAATGATAACATTGTGGCAATGATATCATGACCAATACTCATCCAATCTGCATGAAATCAGTCCAAAAGATGTCATTTTTCCAGAGAGAGCATCATACACCAACTACGTATTTCATTAAATGTCAAAAAACTGTAATATTTAGGAGAGCCAAAACAGGAGAGCTTGAGGAAATAATGTCCACGCTATTCCTCAATCCTTAAGCTTGTTTGTTTACTTTTTTGGCGATTGCATTTTTACTTTAAGCTACCTATGTTGTTACTGTATATTTGAAGATCCCTATTCATCTTTTTAAATATAAAGCAACGACAAAGAAATTTTCATTAAATGTTCGAATAAATATTTATAAAAGAACAAGCTTCTAGAACATGTTAATGAAAAAGTGCAAAATAATAGGTTAATATGAAACGACCAAAATCACTGTTGTCATAGTGCCATAGTTACAAACATGTTTTTCGGTGAGACACATAGTTGTTGATTTTTTTCCCCCCAGGAGAAAATGCACTAATTTGACCAACACTCTCTTAATTCGGCCCTGCCCTTTGCATTTCTCTTTCTGGGTGGTTCTACTGCCTGAAGTTGACCAATATTCCTTTGTTTTCCAATGCAATTAAGCACAATTGATATCCCATCTTGGAAATTATCAATCTCCGGTCTATACACATCTTTATGGTCTGAGCGTAGGAGTATTTTGTGTGGGAAAAGGCTGTTATATACCCTTTTCAGTTGCATTAAACTACCTCCAAAATGCTATACAATAATCTCCCAGTTGATCAGTGTTAAATTTACGGAATATAAACGCTAAAATCTTGGGTTTGGTTACACAGGCCTGCGAATTTAAATTTCATATCGGATTACTTATAATTCAGCTATGCAGATTTCGGAAATAATATGATTTTTTCTACCACTTAAGGATTTTTTACGAATCAGGAAGAAAAATCTCTTACTTAGATCAAGTTTACAACAAATTTACCACAAATATAACAGAATATGTTTGTGTCATTTACACATAGCAACGAATAAATAATATTGAAAAGAAAAAAATAATGTCAAAGTGCACGCACAAACAAATACTATACAGAAATGACACGTCATGAGGCCTGTTAACCATTTATATACTAGCAATGGCTGGAGACGGCTATATACTAGCAGCGCGTTTCTCATGGGTTCTAGAACGATCGATAAGACTCTCACGTCGCAATTGGGCTAAAGAAATCTATAGCCAGTGGTTGTCAACATTTTAAGCACCAGAAAATGTGACCTGATTTCACATATGACGTTTTGTGAAAAATCTGTACGTGATGGAAAAAATTGAAAACATTTTCGGATTCAGCGGACATGAATTACTGTAGAACGTGTAAAAATTTCAAGACAGTAAAACCATTGCAGGCCTGTGTTATTAATGAATATGACCAGATTTTGTTTATGTAGTATCGGTTTAAAATTGGGTTAATATGTACCTGAAGATAAATTGAAGCCTGTGTTATCCGCAGTAGACAGAGTGTAGATAGTACATTGTGTAGCTTTTCGCTAACAACAACAACAACTGCCATACAATGTAAAAATTTAGTTCTAATACATTGTGTTCTACTGCGACTTTATATCGGCTGTGCTTGTCAAATGACTCATTGATTTGCATATTCAAAATCGTTTCAGTATAACCACACTCTAAGGTATGATTTGTTGATTTTCGCTAAGGAAACTCCATTATAGGGTATGCACTCGCGCATAAAAATGCAATTTCCTGTATCAATTTAGTTTCAAATATTGTTTGTTTTAGCGCAAACCTACACAACAGACTATATGCGTCATGTCCATCACAAGGTATCGAGCCCCGAATTCTAATGTGGTAAATTCATAAACTTATCGCTGACCTACTAAGGAATAGTTTTAAATATGCTATGGCATAATTATAACATTCCATGCAATTTATTTCTAATTTAGTAAACACATTTTGTATATTATTCTTCCAAATTTATCTTTTTGAATAATGATAATATAAATTATTTCGATGTATTGATTTATATTATTGTCAGATGTTAAAATTCGCTAAATAATATGATTTTGAACAACTGCAGGAAAAATAAATAATTTAAATTCCCAATTATGAAAGGCCTACTCAATAGGTGGAAAGAGTACCGATTGTATGTTATTGTCATTATAAAACATATTCATGATTAACGCCTGTGCTTCAAACAAACAGCTACAGTGGCTCCGTCTTTTATTGTATATATATATATATATAGTAAATACACCCACCCACATTTCGTGACAGAAGTAAAGTGGTAGTTTAATTAATTAATTGAGGAAATGGCGTTGAAAACGCTTGTTGGAATGAGTAAGTTATTTTTGCAGCTTTTGTGTTTAATTACTTAATAAGATTGTCATACGTTCAGTTTTTAAGTGAAATTTTAAGTTTTTGGACAGTTGTTTACAACTCAAATAGCAAATTTATTAATCAATAACGCATTAATTCCTAAATAAATTTAACCTACAGTTGAATTTGACTTGAGTTTGGGCGTTTTTGTATTGAAAGTATTTTGACTTTGTGGATACCTTATCAAAAGACAACGTATTTATCTAAGAAATTCAGCGCCATATATTTCCTACAGTCTTCATTCAGTACTACTGTTACTAAGTTACTATTAATAAATAAGTTCCAAATTGTCTGGTATAAGTAAAGTCTTGTTACATTAATAATAATTATGTATGATTAACAGTAACACATTAGTAATAGTAGTTAAAATTTCAAGTTAAAGGCTTACTTGTAAGTTGTATTAGTAGTAACCTATCAAGACATAAATATAGTGCTACTTTAAAGTATAATACTAACTCAGCTGTACAGTTCCACTGTCAGTAACACTGCACAGCTGAGTTAGTATTATACTTCCAAGTTCTAATGTTAGATATGTAGTGTGGAGAATGTTTTATTTAGCTTTTGGTTGTTAAAGTATTATTGAATACAGAAATGTAAAAGTACAGTGAAAGTTGATATTAAAAATGAGCTTTGTGCAAAAACGTGAATGACTAATATCTTTTTAAATGTGTGTGTATATATATATATAATATACATTGACACATACAAAGTACAGTCTGGTTTAGTTTGGAGTCATAACTTTAAAATATTAAACTTATGAAATGAAGGGAACTGTTGATGTAATTTTTGCAGGAGTATTTTGGATGAATTTGTGAATGGAAGAAAAACTACATTTTAATTTGTGGTGTTTCATTTTCTGTGGTTAATGAGTGATCTTTGTAGGGCAACTAGCTTTCTGTTATACATTTGTTTCTTTGTAATGATAATGACAGAAAGCACCAGTTACTCAATTGTATAAGCATGGGAGTTTGTCATTCATATTACAGTGATCATCTGTTAAATTTTTTTATATAAATTAAAAAAGAAACAAATTTAAAAAATCAATTGCTATATAAAAATATTATTTTGAATATGTAATTTTTATATTTCAATCTTGACTGCTTGTGATCATTATAAGAAAATGTTACTCCCATTTGTAAGAAAATCAATAAAATCCAAAATTTGGTGAATACAGTGTTAAATTTTAAAAAGAAGTTACTATTAAACTGTTTGCTTTTAAGATGTTTAAAATGCTGCATGCTCGTGTTATAATTTTTTTTTCTGAATAATTTTGTATTGCAGAGATTATGAGTGATGTCATCAAAGCAGTTAGAAAGAAAGGAGAATGGAAAGTGTTAGTGGTAGACCAGTTGGGCATGAGAATGATTTCTGCTTGTTGCAAGATGCATGAAATTGCTGCTGAAGGAATAACAAGTAAGTATTGATTATTGATTTGTTTTGGCAATCTGTACTGTTGAAGCCATGCACTTTTTAATATTTTTTTACTCATTGTAAATGGTTATGATATGGAAATTCAGAATTAACCTTATATTTCCTTTTAGAGTTGAAATTTAATTACTTTGGAAAATAAAAGGATTATGGCTTACTTCTTACTCATTATTTAGTTATTTCTTTATTATGCTTTCTTAGTTATCCTTGTTTAAAAGTAAAAGCCAAGTTGCTGGTATTTTAATGTTAGGATTATAACGAATAACATGAATGAGTTTACAGCCCAAGTTGAAAAGGAATACTTTGATATAATATTGAGAAAATGGTAGTCAAGAGTTGAGTATCAGTGGGTTATAAACACAGGTAGAATGTTGTTAGTTAGAAATTATTATAGCCTACCTGATCAGGCAGATAAAATTACTCATGGAATAATTGTAGGGGATTAAAACTTCCCATGATATGAAATTTCATTGCAGCCATGTATTAAAAGTTTCATACCCATCATCAATTTTTTTCTGATTAATCTCTAATTTAAATAATTTTTAAAGAAGTAAATGCGAGTATTTTACTTTTAAATCTTTTTTTTTATTTATTATTTTACATTATGGACGATGTTGATCAAATTGTAGTTATAAGTAATTTTTTCATTAAGAATTGGCCTTGTGTTAGAGCTCTAAATTTTGAGCTGGTGAAATGGGTTTATATCTGTGTGAAGCAACAAAATACTTCACTCACTTTAACCCTTTCACTTCAGCTGGGATTTATATTTCCCATTGCTCCCACCCCCTCACATTGCAACTGGGACAAATGTTTCCCACTGACATTCAAAATTGCCATATGTGACGTATGGAAGTAAAATGAGTTAGAAAGTATTTATTAGCATCCCACCTAATGTTGATATATGGTTTCCCTCAATGTTTTCTAGTAACCAACAAGATGCTGAAGTGGAATGTATGATAACTGCGTGCCGACTGTGACCATCACTATAGTGGCAAGTAGTAACCCTAATTACTATGTAAATATGCCTGATGCACTTGACTCAGATAGCTTAGAAGATATTGAAAGAGAGTCAAGTGATGTTCAAGTACGTGATGATGAAGAGGTAATGAGACAAGAGGATGCTAGCTTTCCATCTAGTGATCATAGTCAAGATGATGAACCTAGACCCAGCAGAGGAAGGCGTAAACAGCGTTGACAATGGAAATCATTTGTCCCAGTCGAGGTGTGAGGGGCTGGGAGCACTGGGAAACATACATCCCAGCCACAGTGAATGTGTTAAGATGTAGGTCCATTATAAGAGTGACAGTCAATCCCTTAGCATGTATGGTGATTGGTTGGATGCTGCTGACAAGCTAACTTCCTTCTTGTCAGTATGTTTAACGTGAGGGATGGTGGTAGATAGCCTTATTAGCTTTGCCATGAATACAAATACTATTAGGTATATAATTATTTTAAATGTAATAGCACAGATAGCACACTGTGTAGCTTTGTGCTTAACTACAAACAAATAAATCAAATGTAACTCTGATTAATGTTGGCAAGGGCAAATGGTCATAAAACTTTTAAATTGATTTAAATCACATTATAGAAATACTTCTTAGCTTTTGTATTGTATATTTATTTAGGCCACATTCCGGGCTACATTTTTCTGTTTTGTTGGTTTTCAAAATTCATTAGCAAAATAAAGCTTCAGAACAGGCGATAGCCTATTATGTGTAAAATAAATGAGTTTTTTCCAGTTATCCTTATTAATCTTTAAACTCTGGAATTTGTGCTAACACTGCACTGAATGCTAGAAATTTTTTATACACCATTATAAAGCTGAACTGTATTTTTAGTACAGAAGGCAGTTTATTAATCAAAAAGATTGTGTCTAAAATTTTATAAGTATGGTTACAAGCTACACCATAAAAGAAGATTTGATACATCTTTGGCCATTGATTCTATTTTGACAAGACAGTATTCAGTAAAGTTAAATTTTCTTATTTTATATAGACTTTAGGTTGAACATCATATAACACCTTCTAAGTAAAAAATTTTCCTATTAAGAAAATACACTTGAGTATATAGTATATAGTCAAATTATTACTTTTGTTTCTTACACTGTCACATATAGTCAGTAAGGTACTTGTGGCTTTTTTAATGCAATGATATATACTATCCTTTTGAGTAGAAATATTCTCTTTACAGTTTACATAGGAACCATCTTATTATTATTATAAGCTGTATAGAAATGAGCAAATAAGAATGAGTAAGGTGATGGACAGTTTGTTCTTTTGGACCACTCAGCTTCTTCACCTACCCAGTGTATAATTTTTGGGTATTCAAAAACAATGTTTGAAAACTCCGATTTTTTTTTTACATATTTTGTAATATTCAAGTCTAGATATGTAATGTATTGCAAATTTTAGTTGTATGATCTTCCTGAAATGTTACAGTTGTGGAAGACCTTTTTAAGAAACGAGAACCTCTACCAAACATGGAAGCAATATATTTGATTACTCCAGTAGAAAAGGTAGTTGTTTTAATTAATCATTGGTTGATATTCTGTTTATATTCATTTGTGATAATTCTTTAGGACTGATGCTTTGTTACACTTGCATTCACCTTTATTAAACTTTATTTCTGGAAGCCTATAATTCACTTCTAATTATATATTACTGTTTCATTGATTAATATTATTTAATGAGTTTGATTTGAATATCTTGTAAATGATTTGGGACCAACATTTGAATTCTCTAGCTCTATGTAATTTAGCTGTTTTTATTTTTTAGTCTGTTCGTGCACTGATGGGTGATTTCCAGACTCCAAGTCGACATATGTACCGTTGTGCACACATTTTTTTTACAGAAGGTATGTTTGTTTGTTTTTCAAATGATGTGTAATGAAATGCTGATAGGTTTTCTTTTACTAGTGTTGTATATTTAAACAAGATATTTCACAAGTAATCTTACCATTCATTGGTTGAATATATAGTACTTTAGTAGAGTACTGTGTTTTGGAATGTTCTAATCAAAGATGTACAAGTTTGAAAGCATATTAATTTAAAGACGATAAGTAACTATAATGTTATTTAACTAACACTAAGAAACTTGCTATCTTAGATTTTTCATTACAATTGAAAAGGACTGAATTTGTTTGAAAAAGTTAATATTGTTTATTGTTTTTACCAAAATTATCATTTATTATTAACTTTTCTTATGAAAATAATCTTTACTAGTTTTAATTTAAGATATTCTATTTATGAGTATATTGACGGTCTAAAATGTTTTTACTTACATGGTACGAAGCTATGATATTTTTTTCAACAGTGGATAAAATCCTGAAAATTCAAAGAAATGGTTAAAATTGCTGACAGGAAAGGAGAGATATCTTGTCAAGGTTTGACAAAGCTGCTTTCATCGTGTCTCAAGAAAATCTTGTTTATTCAAAATATTTACCACATATTTCTTTGAAGTGATTTTAATATATCAAAACTAGAAACCCCTTTCTTAAATAAGAATAAGAAACCAACAACTATAACAAGAACCTGCTAATGCGGACTTTGTTTTATGCTGTATAATGATAATAGATAAATTTTAGCTAATGTATTGACATTCTCTGATTGCTATATAAGGAAAGTTAAATGGTTTAGTACAACACATTAAATGAAAGCTGTATCTATGTTTTACTGTAAACTATTAACATCTTACTTTGGTTACTAGATAGAAATATACTGAAAGTTAAGTCTTGATCCTTTTTTATTCTCATTGTAGCATGTCCAGATGAACTGTTCAATGAGCTGTGTAAATCATCTGGTGCTAAAGTAATTAAAACTTTAAAGGAAATAAACATTGCTTTTCTTCCGTATGAATCCCAGGTATGTATTTTTTAATCACTTGATTATGTTCTCTTTTACATATTATTAATAAAATGTTGATATTTTGTTAATATAGAATAGTACAATGTGTATATATATATACACCCACACACACTTTCTTGTGTGATATTTACAAAACACATTTTCTGAAGTGAATTAGCACTAAGGAGTATGTACAGTTATATCACTGAACCAAACATACATGCACACACACAGTTTATCATGCATATGTGCTACTCCCCCTCAATTTTCTCCTTGATTGTGAAGTATTCCTTTGAATAAGGAATTAAGGCTTGTGTATAATAATCAAGGAAAGTTGCTGTTTTAACTTTGAATTCAATGGTCATGATTAACATAGCAAGTAAGGTGTCTGCCTTCCGAAATACACATCTGTTCCAACATCAATTGGACTTAATGGAAGGACAGATGTAGTGGCTTCAAAGCTGGAAGGAAAGAGACAAGACTTTCTTTAAAGGGAAGACAAGGAAACAAACAATTTGTTCCGATACGGTCTTACCTCTACTATTATTCGTTGAGAATTGACCAATTTCGTGCAACATTCTGAACAGTCTGAGTGTCCTATCATAACTGCTCAATGTGTGGCTGAATGGGAAGGTGGGGATTTGGACAGCTTTTTTCTCTTCTTGAATATGCTTCTCAGTCGTGTATCATTTTGGGGGACTTGCCCAGGCCTCCTCCTCCCTTTGTAGGTTTGATTAATCAGGTTTGTTATATTCTGTATTTGTCACCTGTTTTCTATGGTTCCACCCATGCCCTTCTTGGAGATGAGCCTTTGGGTCATTACTTAGTGTTTCCTCCTTCCCCAGATATTAGGATCTATGTGAGTCATTTTGGGAAAGAATTGCATTCAGGGATCAGTATGCCTCAACCTCCATGTACTATGTTCCAACTTTCTCTGTTTGGGCTCACAATGTTTGGAGTCTCTCATCTCTCTGTGGGGTTCGGACCCTGAGATCTTGGGTACTTTTTACCCACCACAGTCTTCCCATCTTCATCTTACTCTGATGTCCATTCTCTTTGCCTTATCCTCCCTTCATCTTTTTGCTGAGGCTGTTCATCATTAAGAGTGAATAAAAACTTTTGTATATGGAAACAGAGTATGATTCCTATAGGTGACATTGGTACCTAATTAAATATATACCTTTTTTTTTTCAGTAGATGATGATTTTGTTTTTTGTTTGCACATATTATTTTTCTTATAATCACAACAGAAAAAAATCTTAAATAAATGGTTTTACTTTTATTTATTTTCTTATCATAGACAAATTCAGTTATTATAAGTCAATACAAAAAGACAATTTTTTTCGTCATTTTGTAGGTTTTCTCTTTAGACACTCCTGAGTGTTTTCAATTCTACTACAACCCAGCCAAAGTTTCCCTTCGCACTGCCTCTCTAGAGAGGATTGCTGAGCAAGTGGCCACACTATGTGCCACCTTGGGGGAATATCCCTCAGTGAGACATAGAAGGTACTGAGCTTGAACTTATTAACTTTCATCAAAAGACAAGCTAGATAAGTTCTGTTACAAAAAATATTCATCAATTTACAGTCCTTTTATTTTTTTTATGAGACTTTGAGTCAATTTGGCATTCCAAAGGTTGAAATTATTTTAAAGGAATCATTTGCTTACCTAATGAAGAATACATTGCTCATTGAATCAATGGCCACCATCAATAATTTTTAAAGAGTTAATGATTTACTATAGCTAATGAATAACTGAAAACTCCTGAGCATTTACCAATTGTGTAAACAATATTTAGTGCTGTCACCACTGAAAAAATGTGTATTTCTTGCATGTTTAACTATAGAATTTTGTTGTTTTTCTTCTGTTTATTTCTTGTATGAAATATGATTTATGACATGTTCTTTCTGTTACAAACATATACATTGAATTTTACTAAACATCCAGAAACTGAAGTCAAAATGTATGTTGTATTTCATTATATTCTTGGTTTGTTTATTTTCAGTGACTTTGATCATAATGTCGAACTCTCTCAACTCATTCAGCAAAAACTGGATGCCTATAAAGCAGATGAACCAACAATGGGAGAGGTGTGTTGGAACTTTTGAAGTTAAGATTGTTAGAAGAAGCATACTTACACCATTATTTTAATTTGTAATTCCTGCATCTGTAACTAACAATTGGTTTGGTTTCCAAGATAATAGTTAAAATCTTTAATTTCTCTAGTGCGTCTAATTATCTATCATCTTTAAAAACTTTTCTATAGGGGCCTGAGAAAATGAGATCACAACTCCTTATTCTTGATCGAAGTTTTGATTGTGTATCTCCACTTCTTCATGAGCTGACATTTCAAGCTATGGCCTATGACCTTCTACCTATTGAGAATGATGTCTATAAATTTGAATCTTCTTCTGGTCATGATGTGAGGGAGAAAGAGGTTTTATTAGATGAAAATGATGAAATCTGGGTAGAGCTTCGTCATCAACATATTGCGGTGGTTTCACAGTAAGCAGGTTTTTTATGTTATTGTACTTTGTGGATGTAGCAACAAATTTCATTGATCAGTGCTAGTTGGAAGATTCTAATGAAGTTCTGTTATTGTACTTCAGAATACTGTTTCAAACAACTACAGGTTAATTAAACTTGAAATACAATCCTAAAGTAATTCCTTCCCGGTGAATCATCGGTAAGCTTATGGACTTAAAATGCATTTCCCCACAGTAGGCAAAGTGCAGGTAACCCACTGTGTAGCTTCACATTAAGAAAACAACCACAATTAATTACTACTTATCACTTAAAGTATATCATTACAATTTATGAACAAAAAATAGAAAATTAGAAAAATTATAAACATGTTCTTTTGATTCAACATCTTGAAATAATGTGGTTGTGAGTTATAAGTTTGTGAAATGTTTAATTAAGATATGACTTGTGTTAAAGTTGGATAATTATTAAACATTAAAAAATAACTAGTCTGGCATTTGTGTTTTTCCACTTTCTTACTGTAAAATTGAGAAGCATGTTGGTTACCTGATTTTGCAACACTTGCACACACACACACACTTTTCTGTGGCATATTTTTAAAAGAGGAGTACTAAGGATGGCAACATTAAGTTCATGAAATGTTAGATCAACATTTGGTGCCACTTGTGAGATGATAAAATATATTATCTCATGCATCATAAATCATTGACAATGTTAAGTTACATGCATAATTAATGAGAGAAATCATTAAGATCAACAGTTTTCTCAAGTATTGTTTAGTTTCTGTCTGTTGTTATAAAAGTATGAATTGCAAGGTGTTGTTTTAAGTTAAGCACCTAAGTATTTGTTGCGTATATATAATTTTATACTCTTTGAGTTAAAATGTACATTTGGTTTAATCTTTATGAAAATAAAATAGCTTTTCTGTAGCATCTATATAAATTACCCTTTGCAATTCACTTGGTGTGTTATACCATTTACATTCTTCATATTGATACTTGGAGAGTGGGAGGGAATCTTATGACCGGAATATATTTTTCATACATGATTTTGAACAGTTTAGTATATATGGGAATTCGTCTGAATAGGTTTTGTGTTTATGAAAAGAATTTTTTTGTAATTTCTTCAAAACTGTAAAGAAGATTAATAGTTCAAAGGTTTTTCTAACAGTCACACTGAATGAGTTTCCATATGCTCTTCATACAAGTTTAAATGGCTGGATTGGACAGATTTGCTTATAACAGTGGTCTTGGTGAAATATGAAACTCAAATATATAATATCTGTTTTCCATTTTATTTTTGTAATTTTTAACTAAAAATCTTCAAGCAGAAAAAAAAGACTTCAAAACTTAGCCTGATGTTGAATTCTTAATGTTTTTTATAAGTTTATGTAAAGGAGTAGCTCCAATAAAAAAATTTGCAGAAATTAAAAAATAAAACTTTCAGTAATTTGAGCTGTATTATGTTCTGTTAATTTCTAACCCCTGAGCCCTAGTTTTTCAAACAAGTTCCTTGCAATGTTGTTGGTACATCCATTTAGAAGATGTGCTAAATTTACACCAAATATTAAAGCATTGTATGGATAAATTGGTTTCTTATTTATCTTCAATATCAGTTTTTAAATCCTTGTTGGTTTCTAAGTTTCAACTTCTAAACTTCCCGCTTTTATTTCTTCAGGAATGTGACCAAGGAGTTGAAGAAATTCATTGACAGTAAGAGAATGACATCATCCAGTGATAAGACAAGCATTAAGGATCTCTCCACCATGATCAAGAAAATGCCTCAGTATCAAAAAGAACTCAGCAAGTATGCCACTCATCTTCATCTGGCTGAAGATTGTATGAAGTGTTACCAGGGCTATGTAGATAAACTGTGTAAGGTTGAGCAGGTAAATCTCTCATTTAGTTAAATTAAAATAAATTATTCATAATACAGTAAGTACTTCCTTCAGAGTATGTTAATTATTTTACAACTTTCCGTAATTTGTTGGAATTACCATTTCTTCTATGACTTATTATCAGGTGCCTTCTTAACTACTACTTTGGTACAATACAGGTATGTGGCTCTTTCTTGAAGCAAATTATCCTACTTTTGAAAAATTTCTCACTTGTTATATTAAGAAAAAAAACTTGCTTTCTCTGGACTAGTGCTTCTACTACAAATCAGGAACTGGGAAATCTTGTGCATGTAGCTTTTACCAGTGTCTCATACTAGTTAAAATAATATTCTGTACTTATCCTAAAGTGTACTTAAACTTTTGTTAAATGTATTGATTGGTTTATTAGGCTATTGAAGGAACACTGTTGCTAAACAGTAATATAATAATTGAGTTTAGGCATGTGTATTTTGTGAAATTTCATCTCAACCTTGTAATATCTTTGATTGGAGTTAATTAAAATAAGTTTTCAACATATAATTATAATACAATTGACTTACTATAAGCAGGGATGGGGCAAATACTGGAGATCAATAATCAAATACAAATACAGATACTTCATATTTTTATGAATATTAATACAAAAGTGAATACAGGAAAAATTCTAAGTATACAAATACATAGGAATGTATTCATGAATACTTTGTCAGGTAATATGCAATAATGATAAAACTGTAGAAGATAAGATTTCAGTACTTTTATTTTAGGAAACAAACTTTTTAGAAACTGAAACAAACAAAATTTGAACAAATAATAATGTTTGTTTGTTTTGAATTGCAAAGCTACACGAGGGCTATCTGCACTAGCCATCCCTAATTTAGCAATGTAAGACTAGAGGGAAGGCAGCTAGTCATCACCACCCACCGCAACTCTTGGGCTACTCTTTTTGACCATCACATTATAATGCCCCCATGGCTGAAAGGGCGAGCATGTTTGGTGTGATGTGGATTCGAACCCATGACCCTCAGATTGTGAGTCGAGGGCCATAACCACCTGTCCATGCCTGGGCCCGAACAAATAATAACATTTCAGTAGTTTTATTTTTCAAAATGTGATAACGTTTTAGAACAAAAAATATAATTTTAGAGGAAACTTGTAGATATTTAACTGTCCATTGTTGTTTGTGAACATCAGTCTCTCAAATATCTTGTCAGTGAGGTGGCAGTGATTAGGTCTGAGGGTTTTGCCTCCAATACTCAATGGAGGGCAGAGGATGCTGGAACATTCAGGTAGCATTTGGCTAGTAGAGATAAGGTAGGAAATTTTGTTTTCATGGATCTTTGCATAATCTTGAGGGTTGCTTTCTTCAGGAATGTAAGGATCATCAAAGCAACAAAGAAATTAAAGAGCTTACTTCTTTTGCAGGGGAGAGGGGGGCTTACAGTCTTCTTTTGGTTCCATGGTTGTAAGATTATTTGTTGAGGAAACGTTCTTGACTTCTTGCTGGGTGAAATCTGTTACCTCTTCAAAAGGTGTCAGTATTTTCACTAAATCTGCAAGCACAGTTCAATCATGAAAAGTAAGTTTTAATGTACAAGTATCTAGATTATCCAACTTCTCCTGGGGAATTTTCAATAAAGACTTAATCATCTTAATTTCCGAGTTCCATCGTGTTGGTGTTACCGACTGAACTCTGGCCTCTTCCTTAAATGAATCAGTTTGCTTGCATTGATTTTTGAATGTAGGACATGATGGCTGATGCATAGGAACTTGCTTTCAGCGGTTATCCAGCTTTTTTCATGCCTTCTCTTACCACAAGATTTAGTGTGTGGTAAAAGAAGTCATGTTCAGGAAGAAATCGGAATAAATTGTCTGCTGATTTAGATTCATCCAAAAATTCATCCTCTGAGTCGCTATCTGTAGATGAGTTATCACCATCTCTCACACTAGGTAGTGTTTGTGGTTCAAATCAAGGCAAGCAGAAAGCCTTTATCACGTTGGATGCATTATCAGGTGCCAAATATGATACCTTGTTGTTAATGTTAAAATGATTTATTGTTTTCATCATATTCAGCTACAATGTTATCAGATGAGTGATGCTCCTTTAAATGCTGACATGCCAGCATAACTGTTTGCATTTTCTAATCAAGTAGAAAATGACCAATGACAAGGGTTGTATGACGAGGGTGTATGGACTTATATTTAGTTGGTTCTATACGATACAGTGCTATTGTAGGCTGCTGCACTTGGGTGGAAGTACCAGAGCCAGATATAGACTTCTGTAGCTCTGCCTCATGATTGCACTACGAACACAAAAGTGTATCTCTGTTATAAAATATACAATATAGTTTATAAGAAAATGAATAAAAAACATATAATAATAAATAAATATGATGAATATAGTTCAAAACATGAGTAATTTATTTTAACTATAGAATATAGTTTATAATAATAAAAATAATCAAAAATATATCATAATAAATAAATATCTCGGTTATATATATTAAATAATATAGTTTAACACGCATGACAAATTTAGTTTACCTATATTATATTGTATAATTTACATAGAATATAGTTCATATTAAGAAAAATTATGAAAAGGCTTACCTTCAGATGTGTCAGAAGATTAGAAGTGGTTTTTCCTGAAGTAGAAATAGTCTGCTCACAATATTTACACTTTGTCTTGATGTGACCAAATCTATCAGTAGGAAGTATGAAGTGTTCATGTACCACTGACATTTAGTAGCCATTTCGAGTGACTTGAATGGATTAATAACCATGTAATGCACTAACTTTTAAGGTAGTTGGACAATATTAATCTGATTTAATCTTCTCACCATGGGCATCCTTTACTGAGCATGTCACGATGTTTTTATTAAGTTACATTCAGAATTTAATTAAACTACTTTTTGTTCATATTATACCAATTAGTATAGCATAAAATCATAGCTAATAGTACATATTTGAATTGTATATAAGTTTAAAGTTCTTAATTTTATAAAACAATATTTTTTTAAAAAACCTGAAGTTCCCCCAGTGTGAGAAATGTGTCTTTTTCTCTAGGCATCATCTTTTCTGTAATTTACTTACCACACCTACAAGAAGTACAAAATTTAACTTAAATTACTCATTATCATGTTTTCATAGCCTTCAATTTTGTTTGGTTACATAGCCATCAAATAGAAATCCAGACCTCTCTTGTCACACCCACCTGTCACATCTTCTCTTTCAGGATTTGTCAATATTTCTCTCTGATGTTCAATACTATATTGTGTATAACAAACAGAAAGCCAAGGTTTTCATCTTCTAAATGATGTATTATATTATGTTGTTTTCTGTACAGAAAAGTGTTAATTTTTCTTTCACTACAAACTTCGTTCCCATGAGAAACTTTCCTGTGGGAAGAAAGCTTGTACTGAAAGAGGAATTAATGTGATGCAGATGTAATAATGACAGTTTAGAAATTTGATGGGAGCCTATGACTATGACTCTCTGACTATGAGAGCATAAATCTCCTAATTGGTGGTGTCATATTCAGAGGAAAATATACTACTTGGAACATACGAGCTAATACATTGAGGGTCTGATGTGGCCTACTGGGTTGTATGGCTGGCTGTAGATTGCAAGGTTCAAGTCACAGTATTCTGCAGAACATGCTCTACCTTTCAACTGCAGGGGTATTGTAACTGTAACAGTTAATTCTGCTATTTGGTTAGAAGTTGTTGTATAGGTGGCAGGTGTTACTGACTTGTCCTTCCTCTGGTTAGCAGTTTTAAGTTAAGGATGACTATGCTCGAACCTTGGGGATCCCTGAAATCAGTGTTTAGCCCAGTATTACATAACATGTCATTCATATTGAAAATACTAATACACTGAGCATTTGAAAATAGCTTATATAAGGAAGTATTTTGATGTACTATAATAGAAAGCTTCAAAACATGATGAGCAGTGGCGTATTTAATGTTGGTGTAATTGGGACTAAGCACTGACAGGCCCCTCATATTGCAAGTCCCCAAAGTAATACACAAAAAAAACTTATAAATTTATATACCTATAGCTGATCAGTATGGACAGGTCCCCTAAGAAAATTGCACCAAGTAGTTTGAAGTGTTAAAAATGCCTCTGATGACGAGAGAGCATTTTGCTTCCCTGGCTACTAGAATAGGATTTCTTGTGGTATAACATAAGTTTTTCTCTGATGTGACCTTAGATCAATTAGACTTTCTAATTTTGTTTTTAAAATATTTTATTCATTCTGCAAATCTGATTCATTCAGTAACAGTGCAGTAGAGCCTCGATTAAAAGGCACCTCGAAACAGTGAGCACCGTGTCATTAAGGACAGACCTTTTCAGTCTCTTTCTTTTTCCTACTATTTGTAACCAAAATAATCTTATCTTGCAGTAACGGGTACCTCGATATTCTGGATTAATGGTAGTGTCTTTAGTCTCGTTCTATATACAGGCACTCGATAAAGTGGGCAGTTATCTTTGTATGCCTGTATGGTATACCACTAAATTCCAAACATCTCAGAAGGATAACCAATATTCAAACACTTGCTATGTTTATTGGATCAGCTCCAAACCATATACTGTAATAAAGTTTTTACAGATTCAAAGTGCAATCTTATTACTCTGGGGAATTCTTGTTGTAAACACTGTAGGATATATAAGCTGATAAATTCCACATCAAAGTTCTCGGAGCAGGGGTCAAGTCAGCTTATTTTTGTGCACGTGCTTTGTCGCTCTCGAAAGTATCATATTACGGTGTCACTTAAACAGTCTGATGACACAAGCAGTGATTTTGTTGCTTTATTTTCATCACATTTCTACTTCAGTCTTTGACAGTAAAATAAACACAGAAAATGAATATAAAATATTTAGTAGTTCAAACTCTGACGAGAAGTACTTTGGAACTTTGTGACCAATAATAAAGGGAAAAGGGCACAGCTAATCCCCTCCCTAAGACCTCCTGTTGACGTTGCTCCATGTCATGGCAACATGCAACTTACAAATACCTGTTTTCTGCATACACCAAACAAAATGGGTGGGGCTTAAAATTCAGAAATTTAGTACAGTCAATATAGAATCCAGCTTTGCATGGTTTCTTTTTTATATTAAGGGTACCTTGGTATAGAGAGCATTTGGATGCAGTCGGAAGGGTGCCCTTAATTTTGAGGTTCTACTGTAGTTATATTTAAAAACTTTCATTGCTAACTTCTTTTGGAAAGGCTAACTCTATCTGGCTAACCATTTTTTGAGAAGAGAAATGATTTTAAACTGTCTATTTTATCACAATAATACCTTCAGTGTTTCCAGTAATGAATATTCATGTACATATGTAGGAATGCTTTACATGATCAGAAACGAATATAAACACAATATCTTTTGTAGCATTCCACTTGGTTTAGTAGGGTATTTCTTTTTATTGGTTGTGGCATGGCCACCAAGTCATGTTCTTTGAGTCCACCAATTAGATATGTAGCAGGATCAATCTTCTGTGTCCAAGGGCAAGCCGCAGTTTGGAGTACTTCCTCTTCACTATCAGAGGAAGATGGGGAAGGGGCAGCTTCTGTCTGTCCAAATTGAGCAATAAGAATGTTTTTTCTGGATTTTCCTGATTATACAAGATATGCGAGTTGACCATGCAAAGTTCAAACATATACAAAACAAATTACTTTGTCTACTTGATTATTTTCCATGTATCCAAGGATATTATTTTGCCATTTGATCAAGTTTGTCAATGCTGGACATGTGTCTTTGTAATCCAGCACACAAGCTGGTGTTTGGATGAGATGCTTGTCCTTGTCTTTCTTGCAAAAATTATCTATCCTGGAATCATGAAGGATGGAGGTCGTTTTTACTGGCTGTTTGTTTTTCCACACTATCATGTTTCTATATCAACAAAAAACCACCTGACCCTTCTGCAGTCTGTTGGCTTCATGCCACAGATCATGAGGAGCACCTTGGTTCAGTCTCAGAGTTCCACACACATGAATTTTTCATTCATCTATCAGAAAAAAATTGCATAGGGCTACACTGTTATAAAATAATTGTCCATGTATTCCTTCTAGACAAACCCAGTTATAAGTTCACATTTCTAGTGACAGATGGTACAGCATGTAGATTACTTTAGTGTGGGGAAAAAAAAATTAAGATTCTCTTAGTTAGCTACTGGGACCATGCATCTTGTAGATAGCAGTGGAAGTGTTAATTAAACAATGAACAAAAATATTTGTATTGATTTTTTTAGGGAGGGCTTGCATTATATCTAGATGTGCCAAGTATGATCTTTCACAATGAAAATATGTAAACCACTTGTATTGAGAAAAATGCTATTGTAAGTGTGAATTTGGCTTGGTAGTTTGCCACTAAAATTATCTCTGTGTATATTACAGTCTGGGTAATAGTATTTCTATCCACATACATTCGTATTTACAAAATAGTAACAGTTAGCCTTTCTTTTTTAGATTAATTAAACTTTCAAGAATCAGTTTTATTGTTAAATTTACTTCTTTTTTTTTTCTCTTCATGACCGATTTTTTTTCTTCTCTGTAAAATATTTGTTTCTGTAAGTAATGACTTTTACAAATATACATACAATATTTTTTAGAGATTTTAGCTTTACATTAAACTGGGAGTTTATTTCCTCATGTATATCTTATTTCAAAATTAGGACTTGGCTATGGGTACTGATGCAGAAGGCGAAAGAATTAAGGATCCCATGAGAAACATTGTGCCCATTCTCTTGGATGCTAATGTCACTACACTAGACAAGATTCGGATTATATTGTTGTACATAATTTCTAAAAATGGTTTGTTTTCCTTTTATTTTTGCACATCATCTACCATTTTAATTTTAAACCACTTATGATGCTTAATCATAATTAATAAATAGGCACAGTTTCTTACATTAAGTTCATCAAACTATGATGATATAATTATAGTATTTGAATTATATTTTGGGTATTTTTGTCTACATAGTTTGAAGTTTTATAAGTGTATTATTATAATGAATTGGAGGTTTATAAATTTAAAGAAATGGGCATAAAGATTCTTCTGGTTTATAAATAATGTTTTGAGCCTTATTTTCAGATAGTTTGACTTGGAAACAGTCTTGGTTGAACTCTGGGAAGCATACATCTCAGTAGACACAAACTTTCTTACATAGTTTCTCAGAAATTTGAATAACAGTGTAAGCATGAATGACAATAATCCACAGAGTTTGTCTTTTAAACATAAAAAAAAATATATTTAATTTTTAATTATTGAACTCATTTATTTCTGTAAATTGTAAGAAATATTATTCAGAGATTAAAGAACTCCTAATTTCCTTGCTTTCCTACTTCTTTTAAAATAATGTCCATTTTTCTCTTTGTAATTTTTATTGTTTTTGTATGTAAGTTCAAATAAGAAGTGATCAGGAGAAAACATTGCTGATTTGACTGAAATCTAATGAGAAAACTCATCATGACTGCAACTAGTTAAATACATTGTGTGTATCTATGTTTATGCAAGCCTTCCATTGATGTATGTCTACTTTGAAATTTGGCAACAATGCTATACCTGAAGTTGGATCTCAGAATCGTACCATAAAAGATAATGTCAATGCCTTGCTGATCTCATTGCTCTTTTCATTGTAAATTCTACTCCAACAATAATGTTATTGTTTGTATAGTAATGTATTGTTTGTTGAATATTCTGATTTGAATTCCTGACACTATGTTTATATTATTAGCCAGTATTTATAACTCTTTATAAGATATATCTAATGTTTTTCTGGTAGAGCCACTTCTATCTGGGATTATCAAGATTGCAGTTCTAGAGAGGTGGGGGGTCATTGCATTAAGTTCATAATTGTTTAACCTTTTCAGTAGTCTCGTGCATTTGGCTTTAAAGGTAAATTTTTGCCTACTCATCTTGCATATAAACTTTTATCACTAAGGTATTTTGAGTTACATAAGAATAAATAAATGTTTTAATTTTCAGGAATATCAGATGAAAACCTAGCTAAGCTGGTCCAACACGCCCAGATTCCAGCTGTGGAGAAGTGTATCATCACGAACATGGCAAACCTCAATATCAATATTGTAACTGATGTGAGTAGTAGAAAACTTTAACTTAATGATATTAGACTAGAATTCTTTTGTTACAGTATGACTAGTGTTAAAAGAAGATAATGTGGTTGAAAATTTTATGACAAACAATCATAAGAATAAATAAAAGGTTTACATGAAAATTATTAGAAGTTTTTGTTAATATGCAGATTGCAAAAAACACATTCTGTTGAGTAATATATCTGTTAGTATAATCTTCTTTCTTATTTGATTGGTTTTCAAGAAAATTTCCAGCATTAATTTCCAAGTCCTGCAAGCCTCTTGCACAAGTTCCTTCATAATTTAAAATAATTCAAGATTATGTAAGCCACCTAAATTAGTTTCAAGTTATCCAATGTCAACGTTTTTTTAATTATTTGTTTAGCTCAAGCTAAATGATACATATGATAATACTTATTAAGTTCAAAGCTATCTTTACACATAGGGAAGCAGAAAACGAACGTATCAAGCTCCAAGAAAGGAACGTATTACAGAACAGACCTATCAAATGTCACGATGGACTCCTGTTCTTAAGGATATCATGGAGGTATGTCTTTGCTTTTTCTAAATGTATTATACGCTTGTTTTTATTTTCCTCCTGGTAAGGAGTTCGTGTGGATGTGTCTGTTTTTCTGTAGTACAGATATGTCTCTATTTTCTTACCATTAAGGATAACATGGAAGTGGGTCATTATTATCTTGCTATTAAGTATATCAAGGTGATGTGTTTGTATTTTCCTCTTTTTTTTTTTTTAAGGATTGTATCCAGATGTATTTTTACAGTTTATCTTAATAACTGTTGGGGTATTAAATATAAAAGAAAAAAATTAAATTATTTTAAAAAATTGCCTTAAAGTTGAATATATAACACAAATGTATATCAGGTAATGAACATGATGAAATGTCTTTTTAAAAATACTCTTAGAAGAATGTTTTTAATGATCAGATGAGCTAGAGGCATGACTGGTAGCTTTTGAAAAGACAAATCATTCTTTATCAGAAACATTAATTGAGGTGTTTTATATCACTTACATTTTGTTCATAATTTGGTGGTTTCTACAGGATGCTATTGATGATAAATTGGATAGTAAGCACTTTCCCTTCCTAGCTGGTCGGGTGGCACCATCAGCATATGGACGTCCAACTCCTACGAGGTAATCATGAAGAGGGTTAAAAAATGTTAATGGTACTAATAACACCCTTATTCAATATTTCGGTCAACAAATGTGTTAATGCCTTTATGATTGGTAGGTGTTTTGAAGATGTACACTTATTGTTTAGTAACTCAATAAAGATATTTGGACAAACAATTTTCACCATTGAAAAGTCTTCATTAAATTCATTTTATGTTATGAAATTTTTTGTTCTTAAACTAGACACCAGGAATTTAATTTGGTAAATCAGTACTACCTGAAGCAATGGGGATTACAATTAGATAAATTAGTAACTTTTGGAATTACCAAGTCATTTGAGCTGGATAGGTTCAACTTTACTTCAACCATTTGGTACAGAGGACATTCATGAAAATTAAGTATTGGTTTGGGATTTGGGAGGTGATTGAAATTCTATAAATGTTTTGTACTAGCAGCAAATATGTAATATAATTTGTTTTCAGGGAAAGTTACTATCCTCTAGTCAAAAATAAGTAAAACACTTCAATAGTTGTGAGTATCCTAGAATGCAGTAAAACTTCTATATATAATTGTTGTTGTTTTTTTATCAAATGCTGAAGTTACATACATTGTGTAATCAACTCCTGTAGTTCCATCAGAATGTCCTTGAACGTTATGCATATAATTGTTATGTTATGGAAGTAGATAGATTCCAAAGGGAAGTCTTCTCAACACCCACTGCTCTTGATGTTTAATATTTTAAAGTTGGTGTGTAATCAAACATCAGTGGAATATTCTTTAGCTATTGCATGTCTACACATTCTTGAAATATAGTGTCTATATATATCTCAAGAAAGTAGACATAGTTTTGTATTGATGGATTCTCTGTTTTGCCCAAATACTTTTTTTTTCCTCTAACTCTCATTTTTTGTTGGCTTTTACCTTTCATAATGGTGCCTGCAAAGCTAAATGGCAGAATTCATGTTTCTGGACAACTTAGGTGCCCTCATCCTATTGCACATACATACACTCTTACTTTTACATTATCACTTATTGAAATACAATATGATTTTTTTTCCCTTGGGAAGTGGATATGTAAAAGCCATAACTTCCTTATCCTTGCAATGGATTATCTAATTTTTACTAAACTTGCTTCAATTATTTTTTCATTAATGGAGTGTATACAATATCTATATTACAGAAGTCAAACTATTTCCTTTTTTGGAAGAAACAAAATAGAAATTCAAAATGATGACCATCAGCTTAATTATGAACAGTGTATTCCTTCTTGTGAAAAAAGTAATTCTTTCAGAACATATTGAATCAATCAAACTATAGCTCTGAATTTGAATGTATTCAAGTTCTACATGGTATAACTCTCAATATACTGTAACAGATTTATTAAATATATTTAATTAGTAGATGGTGCTTCTAAAATACACTAATTTCAGCTTTGTTATTCATTTGATTAAAGAACTGTTGAACAAAAAATATTACCTCTTTAGTTTGTTTTGGAGTAGTTTATTTTCAGTTGATGCATTGAGATTTGTATTAAACATCTAATTTTAAAATGTTTTTTAATCAGTAAGTTAATGTAAGAAAATCCTTTTTTTTTTTCTAGTTCAGTACACTAGACAACATAGTAGTAAGCCTATATGAAAGGTCAAAGAAAAGACAAGAGTAAGACATAATCATTCATTAAATGTTTTTAGTAGCATGTTGATTTTATAAAAATATATCCATATGTCAAACAATTTGATAATTAGTTTTACTTTTCCTGGTTAATTAATTGTTGAAAAATAAGAATGAATAATCTCATTAGGAGATGTGTAAACATTTATAGCAAATTATATTAAAAATGTTTCTTATTGAAGCTTATTCTATTTCTTTTATCTGCTGTTTGTTAAATTCTTGTTTGCATCTTTGAAAATCTCCAGTAATGCAAAGTTTAGTCGAGGAGAAAATATTCTTGATATTAAAGAGCATTTCTCAACAGTTAAAAATTGGAAACTGGGTAAGAGGCAAGTGTTATTTTTACTGAGAAATAAGATGTTTATTGATTCAATCACATCTTGAGTATTCTGCAGTAGAAAAATTTGTTTGCTTATATTTATCGGATTTTAAAAATATTTTTTGCAAATATATTTAAAATGATTCAGTTTCTTAAACTATTATTTTTTTTTCAAATCTAACGTATTTTTTATGAAATAGATAAGTTTTCATGCATTAGTTTTTCAATGGATTTATGAATTTTTTTTCATTATAGTGTTCGGTATGGCCATTGGCACAAAGATAAAAATACACCAAATGTCAAGAATGTCCCCCGTTTAATTGTTTATGTAATTGGAGGAATTACATATTCTGAAATCCGCTGTGCATATGAAGTCACTAAACAAATGAAGAATTGGGAGGTTATCATTGGTAAGATCTGAGATTAATGTGTCATAGCTTTTAAGACTTCAGTTTTTCCATTAATTCAAGTATCAAATGCCTGTAACTGTAATGAATGTCACTATGATATTTTAGTTAAAGTAATACCAGGTAAATGTTTAAAACGATCTGTAAGAATGACAACAAAATAAAGCACACGGGTTTTCTGAGTTAGTAGTTATTCTTTCTTTCTTTCTTTCTTTTTTTTTTTTTTTATTATTATTATTATTATTACAAGATTCTGTTTGTCTGGAAATTCCGAAGGTGGCTGCCATAGACAGCATCTGTCTTCAGGCTTAACTGAGAGTTAAAATCATGCCACAGAAAGTAAACTTTTAACACATAAAGCTGTGTATGTGTATATATTTTATTTTGTTTCCTTTTATTTTTAAAAATTGTTCTAAACTTTAACAAGAGCTTAAGTTGAGTCAGAAGCTTCTATAGAAATAAATGTGTTGTGTGTGTGTGTGTGTTGTATAGAGAATGAAAGGTAAGTGTAACAGTATTTTTCTGCTCTAAGAAAATAGTTATTGGGATTCTTAATATACATTTTGTGGCTACAAAGTAACAATGAGTAAACTCAATGGTACATGTTATGGCATAAATTTCACACAATAATACAAAGAAATTGAAACCGTAATTATTTAGTGAAGTGCATAGTTTTTGAACTTGAAAATGCAAAAGTAAGTACCTATTAATACAACTGATGTTTTTCATATACATGTAAGTAAGTAAGGTAATGCACGTTATTCAACAATGTCTTAAAACAATCCAGTAAATATTTCCAGTGGGAGCAGTAAATGAATTATGAGTTTTAAATAAAGAATCGAGATAAAAGAGGGAGCCAGACTGGTTCTGAACTTGAAAATATGAAGTTTGTCTGGGTAGGCCATGTGTGGCCTGTAGTATGTGTGTCAGACTGTGAATCTAAGAGTTTAATTCAGTGGTCAGCAACCCTTCAAAGAAAAATTCATTTTGCTGTTTTTGTCTAAGACCAAAACATTTCGAGAGACACAATATGCCCTAATAGTCTAACCTAAGAAAAAAATATAAAGGTCCTTCAGTGGGACAGCGGTAAGTCTTTGTATTTACAATGCTAAACTCAGGGGATTGATTCCCCTCAAAAAAATGTTGAGATTAAATTTTTAACAACCACTTGGCCTGAAAGATTCTCAATAACAGTGCAAATGGCTCGCGAGCGGCAGGTTGCCAACCCCTGGTCTAGTTCATGTCCCATTAAAACAAAATTTTGTTTTGTGCTTGAGAAGTGTGATAGTAAAATCTCACAATTTGATTAGAGTAGCCCAAGAGTAGCACTTGGATGTTGTTGACTACTTGCTTTCTCTGTAGTTTGTTAATTCAATATTTGTTACCTGAAAATCGTTATTAATACACTAAATTGATTTAAGCGCAAAACTGTAAACATCCATGTAGTTGGTTACATAGGTTAAGTATTCTCAGGACTATTCAAAAACACCAAAAAATATGTAAAGTTTAGTATTTTTGATAATTCTGAGTAGGAACTGATAATCTGTAGAATACATTTGTTATGTAACACTATTTTTCGTATTCATTAGTACGTACTGTATAATTCTTGTCTTTTGTTTTAGTGTTTAAGAACTGTTAAAATATAAATAGTCTGTATTATTGTTCAGTAAATTGTTTGGTTTTAAAGTTCTATGTCATACTTTCCCTGATTGATTCATACCTTGATTCATTCTTATTGTAGGTTATTTCAATTTCTATTCCAGGATCTGACCACATACTCACACCTGAAGGATTTCTCAGTGACCTTCGTGACCTTGGTAGCTAATGTAATTGAAGTTTATCAGTATATTTTGAAAACTTAGTTTATTTTCTCGATATATCACAAGCTAATCACTAGGTCTGGATCCCACCCTAAAACAAAAAAATAGAAGGGAAAAATTCTGTAGCTTTAGATTGTTTTTTTTTTGGTACTAGAAATATTGTGACAATGCAACAAAAAATAGTGCAAACGTTTTAGTTATTACTTGATAGGATAGATATCTTTAATATTATACTTTCAAGTTTTGATGCCTTCACTGTGTGTGTTATTTGATCTCAATATATATATGTATTATATATCTGAATAGTCTTAGTAACAACCATTAGCATCTTTAAGATGTTAACCTTCAATCTGTGCATGTTTGAAAACAGCGACAAATGTTTGTTTCTTGGTAATTTAGATGTTGCATGTTAATGATTTTTCTATTAATGGAAAATACATGTCCAAGCTATTGATGTTAAGGTAAGACTTTAAAATAAGTCACAAGCACCATTTCATAAGTTTCTTTTTGAAAAAAATTATCTTTTCTTTTTAAAAGGAATGATGTTTATTTTTATTTTTTAATACGAATTTGTCTTACTATTGAATAATAGTAATCAAAATAAGTTTTAAAGCAGATGTACATTCTTTTGTGTGTAAAAGATCTTGAACTTTCTGATTCACAAGAGAAGATTCCATTTTAGATTCTAACTCCAAGAGTTCAATTAATGGAATTTAAAAAACTATATTGTTGAAAACAAAAGTACCCATCTGATGAAACATTGTATTATAACCTGCATAAGAAAGAACATAAGAAAAATATTTTTAATTAGCTGTACTCATTACTGTGTTGATTTTTATTTTTGTACTCAGTAGGTAGCTTGCTGTTATTAGAAGTTAATAACAATAAATTTAAGGTTTAATGTTTCATTTTTTTTTAATAATTATGTGCTTATGTGTTATATGGTTCCACCAACTGCTATATTATTTTTGGTGAAAAAAAAGAAGAAAAACCATTTAAAGTGTAAATTTTAAATTACATAATGTAATCACTGATGGTTAAACTCATAATCAGCCAGCTGTACATATTTTCATTAATGTTGGAAGTTTTGTCTGTGAAAACTAGTTATTTTGAATATGTAAAAAAATTAAAGCTTATAATTTTCATTTATACACAGATATTAATAACTCTCACTTTTGAATGAGTTTAAAGTGTATAACTTTCATGTTTTCATAACCTTTAAGCCTTGTAGCTGAAATATTAATCATTAAATCTGTACTTGTAACAAACCCATTCTTGGTTGAGTTGGAAAGGTTTTGTTACCCAATATATATATATATATATATATATAATGTGCATATGTTACACATGGTTCTCATGTTTGCTTCAAGTCTTGTTTTGTTTTATTGTTGTTAAGTTGTAAATGCTGAAAAGTTATTTCCATGCTTTGCTTTTCCCAAAAATGTTTTGTGATTTTCATAACATATAATACCATTGATATTGTTAAACTTCAGAGCTTCTTCATAGTATGTGTGCATTTCTTAATCTTCAATCATTAAACTTTTGTAAAAACAATTTATATCTCCTGAAGTACACACAGTTCTTTCCTTAAAAAACATTTATAGAATTATACATGAAATGTATCAAATTTCATACACTTACTGTTAGAATGTGGATTGTTCATTAGTTATTCAATTATTAAATATGATGCTTCTATTCTGCTTGCTACAACTGAAAGGAGTGGTATGATATGTTGTTATTTTTTATTATTATTCAGGGTTAATGTTGTATGTATCATTATGTAATGGCTGTTGAAAACTGGTATATAACTATGCATAATCTATTTATTTTATCAGGTTGTTTTATAAATCAGTGCCCTGTCTTAGCATTGCAAATTTAGGGTATCAGTAAATTGTACAGTTGAAATTTATTGTTGTATATCAAATGTAAATGAATGTCCTGTCTTAGTATCGCAAGTGTAATGTATAAAGAAATTATACAGGTGAAATTCACTGTTATAATTATATATCACAACTGATATTATAAAGTAATTTTTGTTATAAATATTTCCAGTGAATCAGTTTGTTTTTCTACATAATGTTTTAGTTAATAATTGTATGTACTGTAGTGGAATGTATTGTCATCACTCAGAGTATTTTGGGGTATCGGTATTGTGATTAATGTTCTGAGAAATTGAAGGGTGAACAAAAGCATCAGTCTGTGTACAATAAGGCTCTAGACTGAGACCTATTTGGTCTATGATATGGTCTGTCTGTATGACATTAATGTGGTTGAAGAGCCTAATATGACTTCTCTCTCTCTCACTATGATAGGTTTTGAGACCCTGTTTATATTATCTTAAGTGTTTGGCTGGCTGAACCTAAGTGTGGGAATATTATTCGTATTTTTAGCTCCCTAGAAATATAAACGATTGAAGCCACGTCTAAATGGCTTTGTAAGTTTAAAACATGTACAATTTTATAGACGTCTCAGTTGCATATAAACATATGTAATGTCTATATAAATACCAGATTCAGACAGTTTGACAGATGGGACATGGGAAGAGTAATTAATCAGTCGTAAATTTATTTTGGCACTTTGATTGTCCCAAACTTTGGGTCCATCTCTACAGTTGCTGAGATGTAGGCTTTATAAAAAACACCTGCCTAATTGGGTTGCTTTATTCGCTTGTCCTCAGACTGGTTGTGTGGAAAGAGAAACGAACAGATTAATAAAATGACCAGGTACAAAGTTTTTGGTGGGCTCAGTATTACCATGGACGAGCAAGAGGTGTACAAACTCTTGAAAACAAGTTACAGGGAGCTGAAAAAAAACAAGCACTACGTATTATATATTCGGAAGCGGGAATCATCATGCAGACTGATTGGATTGGTCTGGGTGCACTCAGACCCAGTCGTGATTAAGACACTGGGATCAGTTACGTTCTTTGGTATTAATCAATATTTTTCATAGATAGGCAGTGAATAACAGACATGATAAAAAAAAAATTAGTCTAATATTGAGTAATATAGGCTTGTAACGATAGTTTTTCACCTTGAAATATCTTAGCACACTTGGTCTTTGATCCTCTTTAAAGATGTTATTCTAGAGGTAAAGAGTGAAGCAAGATATAAATTTTTGTTTGTGTATTTTTGCACTTGTGTAACAGACTTTTGTAAGGTGGTGGACGCAGATGAGATATGAAGAGTTCGTCAAACCTGCTGCCCCCCCCCCCTCTAGAGAATAGTGCATCATATGATTTATATAAAAAATAAGGGCTAAACTTTGGAAAGAATATGGTAGAAGTTATATGAATATATCTATTCACTTTAAAACACCTAGATAAATTTTAAGTTAGCCACTTCCGACCGTATGTTTTCGGTATTTTGAATTGCAATAAAACGTACTGTAATTGTATGAGCTTGAAAAGCTAGGTCATTTTTCGTGTAGTTAAGGGTGACGAAATTTCACTCCGTGTGCCTAGAAGATGGGGGGTTCTAAATTTGTTGACAACTGGGGCTCAGCTTTCTCAGATATACTAAGACCAACCCTGTAAAATCCCCATGAATAAAATCGCGAGTCAATCACTACTTTATCTGCTATTTTAAACCTCGTGTTTCTGATGTTAAGATACTTTTAGAAGTATTTGTAGTAGATGAAGTGTTAATTATTATGCAAGTGACTTTGAAATTATTTGTACTGTCATAGTCAGTATATGTTCAGGCTTGATGTAGTAAATTAACAAAATTATATTTTCCAAATACTTCTTGTTATATTCATAGATATACAAGTCATTCCCCGCATGAGCGTACACGAAAAATAGTGAACTGTAGAATCATAAAAGTTTTGAAGTTCCTGTTGCCCATTGACACACATTTCGTGAACTTCCATGTGGAGCGTGACTTTTGAAAAAACAAAGAAACAAAACTGTATTATATTGGTTTCATTATAGAGGAAAAATATTCTGGAATATAGGATGATTCATAATTCGCAAAACTTTTTCGGAGCATTGCAATAACTATAGGGTATATGGAGGCTACTGTACATTGTAAAAACAAGGAACTGAGTGGAGATTGATATCCAAAGAAAAATGTATGTGACAGAGACGTTGTGATGCGCCGTTTGGCCACCAGAGGGTTGTTTAGGTAAAAAGGATTGGGTACCTCAATACTCGCAGAAGAAGGGACGTTAAACATCATGGTCTTCAGGGATAAAATTGATTTGTGAGTCGTGACCGCCCTCCCCATCGATTTGGAATGATGCCACGTGCGAGCATAAGTAATTGAAGGCGCGTATAATGTTTGCTTAAACGTTCTGTACTGATTATATACATTATGTACACATTTTTTTACGCTCTGGTGGGTCTCTTAGTTGGCAGTGGACCTCGGGGAAATATCCCCGCCAATGGTGTTAAAGCTTGCAGAACTCGTTGAACTAACTTTTGCTGCATGTGAAAATGGACTTAACAGTACAGCAGCTACTACTGTTTTTTGCTAGCAAGCACCATGACAGAAACACAATTCCAATACCCTTAGTATCTAGATTAGTGGAACGATTCTTCAGACCAGAAGCAGAGCAGTTGGCGGTGCGTCACAGTCTTCGTCATAGATATTTCCCCTTTGCATATCATCCTCCTTCCTTATCATTCATTTTTCACAAAACCCCTACAATGTTACGTGAATATGACTTATCATAGTTCTTGTATGTGATAGAAAAAACTCGTGCTTTATAATTTTCGCAAACATATGTAATATATTAAAGTTTTTTTTATCATCTAGTTATTAAATTATTTAAAAACAAATGTGAAATATTTTTCTGGGGCAATTCAAAATTTTACTCCTATAGATGTTGGAAACAATTTTATGAGATTATTGTGTTATGTGACAAAAAATACTAAACATTTGTGCGTGGTAGACTTGTGGTGCATAAATCTGTAGATTGAAAATATTATATTGTCATGAAACATTGTTGTTAAATGTAAAATTATTGCAATGTTAATTTTCACGTGCATTGATTTTTAGATCAACAAACAACCATTTATGTTGTCTAGTATATCACGGACGTACTGTCCCACGTCACATGCTGATCCATCATCGGCCAGTCACTTCATTCTTTAGGTCCTAGTAAAAATTATGAAGGCTTATCGAAATGTACTTGGAAGTCAGCTAAACAAGAAGAAAACTAGAAGTTTTCATGATTGTCTACTATATATCTTTACAAATAAATAGCCTCCCACTGGTACAGTGGTAAGTCTGTGGACTTCTAATGGCAGTTACCGGGTTTCGATACCCGTGGGCTCAAATAGCTCATTGTGTATCTTTGTGCTTAACTAGAAACAAACAAATAACATACAACTTCACTGAATGGCACAACTTAATTATTAAACCACATTCCCATTATTTAAAAAAAAATGAAGGCATTGAATAAAACAGTAGTTCACTAGCGAACATGAACAATATATATATATATATATACACGTGTGTGCGTCTTGTATTAATAATAGCACTTTATGGTAGTATCAACTCTGAATAAAATATAAACTCGCTAATTCGGTAAAATAAGTATTTGAAATTGGAACTTAAAAATGTAATTCAGTAAATCGTTGAAAATATATATCTGAAGGTGCAAATTCGTAGTTTGTTTGTTCTGTATTTTAACTTTTAAGCCGTTCTTGGATTAACAGGAAATATTCTAGAAGGTTCCAAGACGTCTCTACGAAAGTAAGATTTATAGAACGATTTTGAGACACACTCATGGCCGTAGCTAGCTCTAAGGTAACCGAGGTCTGGACCTCGGTTAAAATTGGAAATTAAAAGAAACATTCTATTTAATTCTATATTCATATGGAAAAGGTATACAATATGCAAGGCTGAGCCTATGTACTTGTCCGTATTTGGTACAACTATGCAAACAGTATCATTGCAAAGATATCACTACAGAAATCGGTTGGAGCTAAAGTGCTCTTCACAAGTACTTCAAAAACATGACGATAAATAAAAGTTTCTAATCTGTATTTGTTTTAGATGTCCATACTCCCAAGTTTGTTATTGCTCTAGCATTGTGTTTGAGCTGGATTGGATTTGCAAGTGTGGGTTATGATTTTAGCTCGCATCATTAAAACTGTGAATTTCAGCGAGAACTTAAAGATTCGTCCATTGTCAGAAAGAGTGTATGATGAATTATGGCATCATTCATTTGATAATATCCACCATTTCTAGTTTCACTATCTTGTACGTTTTTACAAATATAAATGCTAAACGAATGACGTGCTAGAACTAATGAATCCTAGGGTTCATGTTTCGCACTACTATAAAAATGTCGATCAAATCCCACTTCTTCCAAACAAGAACAGCTCAAGAGTTGGTAGTGGGTACTTTTAACTAGCTGTCTTTTGCCTAATCTATCAGTTCAAAATTAGAGATGGTTATTCGCAGCTAACCTGTGTAGCTTTGCGTGAAAATTCTGAAACACCCCCTCCCTAAAAATCGTTATCGTTACAATAAAAGGATTAAAGTGCAAAACTTTTAAGCATTAATGTAGTTAGTTTATACAAATTCAGTATTATCATAACCAAAGAATACAAATTCGAAAATAGAATAATAGTAAAATTAAAATTTCAATAATTTTTCTAGTTTTATTCATCTTTAACCGTCTTCCAAACTATTTAAAAACAGTTACCAATAATTAAAGTTGTATTATTGACTCGTATTGTTAAAAAAACAAAAAAACTTGTCCCCCATCTTACTCTGTCACTAAGGATTACAAACCTCGACTATTCTTTTAAATGTGTGTTCCAATTAAGAATTTGGGGAAAAAAATCATTGAGAATATATTGTTGCCTATCGATAAGAAGCTAACGTAATAGTTCTGTAGTATTTATGTAGCAGCGAATGCGTATATTTCTGGTTGATTGTTGATAAATTTCTGTGTAGGCCAAACTTTTATACGGGTTAAAAAACAACTTAAAATGTTAAGTATGGTTTAATAAATGAACAATGGAATATAGGTAACGTTAATATAGTTCTTTATAAAAGATGATGACCTTTATAGTTTTGCCACTAAATTTTCTTGATAGTTATATTTGGGTATATGTTCGTCAGTCATTTAGTTGATTGTAATTTTAATGCAAAATATAAATATTAGACACATCAAACGAGGCTTCCTTGACCAATATGAATCATTTTTTGCACCCTTTCCCCACAAGTTTTAAATATAGCATAAAACAGAACTTCTATACGTATTAAAACAAAATCTAACTATCTGTAGAGTGAGAACTCCACAATCACGCTTAATTCCTAAACTTTTTGGAAACTTTAACGAAAATAAAATTCGTTTCCTATTATCCGTTTCAACAATCTGCAGGAAAACAGTAAACCGTTTATAGTTGTTGTTTTGTTTTTTTAAGGTTGTTGAAATATGTAAAATGGAAGTCAAGTTCTTCTTTTTGACCTCTTTGGCACTCTGCACGGTCACGTGAAACCTGTTCAAACAATATCGTTACTTTGTAATTTGTGATGAAAAAAATCCTTATATTTCATTTCACCTAATCTTGAATGTTGTGCCGAGAATAGAGTTTCTTGTTAAAATTCGTAGATACAATAAAGAAAATGTTGAGTAATTACAGTTATTTCGCAACCATGGGCTGTGGAAGCCTCTATAAACCGTCATGGCGCTTGAATCGTACCAGATTAAGATTGCTCCACTTGTGGCTGACAGTGAAACAAAAGTTTCACTTTATTTTAAGAAGACGTGTAATTAATTTTGGTCCTTTGAAAGTGAATATAAGGAAATTTCCAGAGAAATGAACATAAATGTAAGAAGAAAATCTTGACATTGCAATCTCAAAACGGTTATAATAGTTGAAGGAAAGAAATGTATATGGTATACATATATAATCTTTGATTTTCCATGGAAATCCTTGCTAGATTACGGACGTTAACATCACTACATGAAAATATCAACTTTGAGAGCCAGGACCATCCAGAAGTAGACCTGCAACGTGTTGTACCCCAGCCGTAGTCGGCAAAGTGCGGAATCTTGTAACAGGAGAGAATCAGCAGCAATAGCTGCCCACATGTCTCGGGCAACAGTAAGCAACATACTAAAGAATAATCTTTATGTAGAAAAACGTTAAGGAACGTATAAACAAGTTTCTTCAACAGCATATCCATTGAAGTGTCATATACCTCAAGCAGCTGGAGAAGGAAAGGGTTGTTCATGTTATTCCATAAGCACATATGCTGGTCAAGTCGTGAGACATGGCACCTATGGATTTTTGAGCAATTGGACTGTTTAAAATGGGAATTGGGAAACAGTCACCCATGTAAACTAAGTGGCTTATGGAAAACATGCAGAGAAAAGTGTGCGCTTTGAAGATGACAGCCTTATGACAGAATATTTTGCAATAGAAATTTTACTATTGTTAAGATTCACTGGATTGAGTATAACTGAATGTGAAAATATGGTGTAGGCTTCAAAATAATATTAATATAACATACTCAATCTCTGTATACTATAATTTCAGATAATAATAATATATCAGTAAGAACTCTTGAAATAAATATTTTATACAATGCCACACAATGTACAAAACTAAGTAAAGGTTTCTGCAAATTGGTTATACAACCATTATGTTCTGTAAGGCCACCGTCATATCAATATGATGATACAATCACTGGTTACAAATATACAACTGAACAATGAAATTACATAAGGTCACTTATTACAATAACTACATTTCTATCACAGATAAATGACCACACCAGCTTGTAGTGCTTTTAATAAAGTAAGATGTATCACAAGCTAACAGAGAAAGTTTTATATTTAGGCCTTATGAAGTGAGTACTTGAAGTCATCCTCAATCAAATTGTTTCAATGAGGCACCAGAAAAAAATGCATACTGCAACACACTTTGTATCTTTATACATTTATAAAAACTGTACCTTATAATTATTATTATTTTTTTTATAACCTTTATATAGTCTCTCACACTAATATTAAACTAGTGGTGAACATAGCTAAGTGTTGTAGTAAACATATGAAACATTTTAAAATTCAAATAGTACTTGTACAGGAATAATACATAAATAACTTTCCAATCACAAACTTAAATATCATAAAGACAAAGTTTTTTGAAATAATTTTACCAACTGTTTGTTCACAACTTTAATTGTTTGCAACACTTTTGGAGAATACCTCAGTATGATTTACAAAAAAGAACAAAAATTCTGAAGTTTGGATTGTAATGAATAGGCCAATTACAAGCTTCTTCTCCAAGCACAAAGCTTACTTTGCATATCTTCTCATACATTATACAGAAATAAATCAATATCTATTATAAACATCTTATAGGAACTCTTGTAATTAATGATTGATTTGTTTTTAAGTTCTTTTTCCAACACATGTTGTAATACCATTAAAACCATAGGTGTAATGCTTGATCAAATAAATTTCTTTATATTCTCACATACTTAAATTTTGAGAATAACTCATTTCTGAGCACAGTTGTTACTAATGCTCTTCTTGATTTTACCTATTTTTTTGCACTTACCGGTTGCAAGGATACTTGTTAAATGTTTTAAGTCTATCAGAAATATTTAAAACATTTTTTACACCATTCTGACATAATATTAATTAATATATTAATTTCAACACTGAATTGTAACAGTTCATATATCTTAGCTTTGTTTTGTAATACCTGCCAAGTTAGTAAGTTCTGTAATGAAAATGTGTATATGGTTGTGGGAGATTGGCATGAGGGGAAAAACAAAAATATTATCTCCATGTCCAACTTAAAAATATAATAAATCATTACACTGATTTGTACTCAACTGTTACAATATCAGAGACAGGGACACGAGATACTTTGAATAATGAACATAAAGTCAAAAACTATGTAACAGCTACTTAATTGGCTTAATACACAATTTTCTCAATTTTTATGCTTTACTGATAAAACATTTACTTTCAAAAGTGCAGTCAAAGTCAATACCTCGGAACAATGTAAATCAGAAACTGATGAAATCAAGCCTTAACATAAATGTTTCAAAGAAATAGATACAAAAAGTTCAAAATGATTTTGTGAAAAACTAATATCATGCATATAAAGTATTTACAACAATGAATAAAAATTATAAAAGTATAAATCATAAAAAAAATTGTTTCAGAAGTAATTGGTACTGTAGAAGCTGCTCTTTCACAGTCCATTGTTGGTTACCCAACTTTTTCATGGTTCAGCTAATTATACAGTGTGCATGAAGCAAATTATATTCCGATGCAGTGTACAATTACTTAAGTTTTTTTTAGAGCTCAATATTAGTCAGATATTAATTCAACACATCTACAATTAAAGTCCTATGGACCCCTTTCACTTTTTTCTTCCCTGAAATCAAAAGAATTTAACCAAAAAATAATTATAATAAAAGTTTGAATGAACTGAGTACCTTGATCTTTAAAACTGAACCATAACCCTGCATGCACAACATATATTACAAACTCATACCATTTTTGGATATATACCACTGCACACCAATAAAGATAGAAATTACACAATGTAAGATATATTTTGTTTACAATATTCTTATATACAAGTGTGACAACCTTCTCACCAATTGTTCTGTGATTTACATGATCTCAGTATTTCTTTTTACCATTTCTTTTTTATCATCGCTCAGGCAGTATCTATCTAAAATAAGTTTCTTTATATACCACACATCAGCTTCTAGTAACTTTCTACACTCTTAATAATGATTATTATTATTATTATTTATTATGCATGAATTACTTCTTGAACTAAATTTATTTTATTTTAAACAGAGAAAATTTTGAATATAACCATGATTTCCCCCCAACATTAATATATATATATATACCTGAAATCTGACTATATATACACACACACACACACACACATGTACAGCTTTTTTTTTACTTGAAACTTTTTCATTCAAGTTAGACAACTTCAAGTGAGACATTGCTAAAAGTCTGTTAAAGCTATTGCTTCTAATAATAATGTAATTTAGCTTTAAAACAAAGAAATTATAATGCTAGTAAAGTTCCACACTGGCCCTATAAAGTTTATGCAAATATCCATACTATCAAAACTGCCTTAATATTTAATTCACAGGGTAGAAAATTAATTAAAGAAAGTATGTATTTTTTTAGTACTTGCTGTTGAAGAGGATAAGGAAGTAAACTGTTGTAAGTTTATAACAGAGTGAAAGCACAGTTACTGCTGGAATTTCAATTTATATGTACAAACAACTTTGTTTTAAAAATAATTTAAAAATTACATCTATTTCTATAGGTATTGTAAAATCTCAGATATCATCTATTTATTGTACATAGATCAAAAAAAATTGTAAAAGTGGTTTTCTAAACAATATTTTTTACACCAAAATAATTTTGTCCTTCTGTATTTTTTTTTCTTTATGCTGCTATTTAAAAAAGAGAATACAAAAGGCTTTGTTACTGAACTACAAAAAGTAAAAAAGAAAATATTTTACAGAAATCAATTTTATCCTTTACCATGTCCTAAACCTTTTATCTAAGTCCATAACCTTCAATATTTTCTTTCCTAATATAAAAAAAAATCAATAAATTGATAATTAAGTTTATGAAATACGTTTTTAATAATACTTCGACAATTTCCCTATTAATTTTAAAAAGTTGCACCAATTATCAATATGCATAAACTGTTAATCTAAAAGAATAAATACCTGTAAATGTTCTGTACATCAGGATCAAAGATGATTAAAGTGAATAAAATAAACAAAGGCTACTGGGTTATCATACAAAAAAAAAGTGTTAATTTAAAAAAAATTTTAAATGAATAACTAGTTAATATAACACTAAGAATTCTTCTGACAAACTTAAAGGTTTTGAATTATAAGAAGTCAGTAGTTTCTTTTAGCTTTGTTCAATAATAAATCTTTGGAGTCTAATCTTTTTTAATATATGACTTGGCTTTATTTGATTTGTGTTTAGTAAATCAATGTAGATTAATAAAACTAATTAGTTTTGCATAAGATGTCAATAAGTATACTTCTGTTGTTTTTTTTTAATTTTATTTATTGTGTAGCCAAAATATCAAACACCAAACTCTAATTTAGTTATACGAAAATAAGAAGTCACCTAAGATAAAAAAATTAGGTAACTTGCGAAACAAAAAATCTGATAAAGCGTGATGGGCAGAACTTTTATTCCTAATTATAAAGTTACTTGGGTTATGTGGTTTCTTGTTTTGTAATCTAGTTTACTTATAATAGTCTTAATGTAAATGTCACAAATAACCAAACATCTCTTTTTTTTTATGTTTACGCCTTTAAGGTCTTTAAGCAATTTGTTAAAATGATTAAATAAGGGACACCAGTTTTAACATTTGCTATTTAGGTACAAGTGGTGAAACAAAACTACATAAAAGCAAGAAAGAAAAACGTGTTGCAACAAATCTGGATGCACGCTTTAAACAAATCCCAAACTTTATGATTCTTAATTTACAACTTAGATTACAAATGCTATTTTCTAATGATCTGTCATTTAAGATACATTTACTTTTTAGTCTCAAAATGTATTACACAACACCAATATTTTTTTTATTGCTTTTGTGGAGATGTAATTCCAAATGGCAGTTTACTATCATAATGATACATTGCTAAGTAACTTACTCTGCTTTCTATAATTATATACCTGGCTTGTAATTGTAGATTCTTTGCAACAAATTTATAATGTAATAAATGAAGCATTTCTTTCAACCCTTATTTATAACTTCAAACAATCAACATATATAACTTTCTATAATTAAAAACAAGGCAGTGTTGTTTTTTACTGTTTCACAGTCAATCATGCATGTTCAATGCCCTGGCTTGTAATGGTCATCACAGCATTCAAATTTCTCCATTCAATTTACCATTCTTGAACAGGTCTTTGCTGGTCATGTGATTTGACTCCCTCCCAAGGTGCAGTAATTGGTCACTCAACACATCATCTCCAACTTTGTTACTTTTACCAATAGTTAATTCCAATAGGCTATTTACATGGCTAAGAGACTCTTCTGAAAAGTTACAAGTTTTACTACCGTTGCTATTCAGACGCAAGTTTTGAAGAGCCACTGTAGATATCAGCCTTCGGTTTTGGGTTTCTAATCGCATCACCTATCAGTTAATAAAAAATACAAATGTATTAACATATGATGGTGGCTTTTCAGTTATATCAATTACTGTATATTTATAAGTGGCTCTTATTTATGGACATCACTTTTCCTGAGTTACATTACCTTTCATTTATTTACAGTATTTTTTAGTGATTAATATTGTACTTTTGTTATAGATTTTTTTTAGTTACATGAAATAAATTCAATAAATGTGTTATACACATCAACTTGAAATTTAGATATTTTTTATTTAATAATACATCACCTTGTTAGGATGTGCATTTCAAACTACAAGCTTTTTGTTCTATGTTTTCAGTCATATGATCTAGTTAAATATGTAGTCACTTATATCACCTTCCAGAATAAGGTTGCACTTATGAATCATGCTACCTATTCCTAGGTGTAGAATTTTTTTTTTTCTTACAAGATTTCTTTCATAACAGAAATGCAGCTACTACCAAGGTAGTAACTGTTAAAATACTAATTGAATTCATTGTCTTCTTTAGCTGTTTCAAAAATGAATTCCAGGTACTGATTGCAACATTCTTTTATATTTTGACATTCAATAGATATTGCTCAAACACTTTATAAATGTATTTGGTGAATATTCTAAAACATTAAGGTAAGCTAATTTTGTGAAATAGCTGAAATTTAAAAACAAAAAATACCAATACCTCAACACATTTAATATCTTCATATCAATAACTTGAATTACTACAGTATCAGCACTCTCAAACAATCACCTTTTTAAACAATTATCTGAAAGTGAACCATTTAAACTTTAGTCTTTCATTCTACATTTAAGCTTTTGGTTACAAAAATAACCAAACACTTAAATTCAAATGTAAAAATTTTAAATAGATATTTTCATTTGAACTATAAATCCATATAAATACTTTTGAACATCTTTTCAGAGACGTACGAAGGTCAACAATCCCGGGATGGAGATTGATGCCATTTGGTGTTACAGTATTTAATAATGCTATCTACTAAGCTGTTCTTTAATTTCCCTGTTTCTGTTAGATGTAAAATTTGTCTCTATATCTGTCAGTTTAATGTGTTCAAGAGAGTGTCCAGGCATGTTAAAGTGTTCTGTGACCAGAAGTTTGTTGCTTTGATTGTTGATTTGTGGTTATTAAAATGTTCCCGTACAGTTGTTTTGGTTTGACCTACATCTTGGAAGTTGCATTTTCGGCATTGGATTAAGTAAATAACGATTTATGTAAAGCAGGTTATGAGTTTAGTGATTTTGAACTGCTTTTGGTCGTCTTCAACAAAAGATTTGTCTGTTTACTGCATGAACTTATGGGTTGGGAATTGCTTGGATGATTGCAAGGATGACTTCCATCTGGTGTAAACTTAAAGTTGACTTTAGCATGAACTAATAAATACATCAGTGAAATGAAGTCGTTTTTTCTTACTTCCAATAGAAATTAAATTGTTATTTAGTCACAAACACAGTTGTCTTTTTTTGTTTTATTTATGTGTTAATTTAGCCTAATAATTGAACCAGACTAGCAAAGTATTTTAATTTTTGTAGAAAAGTTAAGTCATATAAACATACAAGTCTACCAAAGTAACTTCTTTAATTTATTTGTCAGGAAAGTATAGAAACCTAATATTAAAAAGAAATTTTAACTTTAAATACTACTCACTATAGTTATACTTAGGTACTGTTTTTGCTCCTTTGCAGTAATTTGTACAAAACCTATAATAAGTATATTAAATTACTGAAAGCATGCATTACTAAATCCAGTAATCATATTTAAGCTGATTTTTAGTTTAAGTAACATACATATGCTACTCATACTATTTTTTCAATGCTGACCTCAGCTTTTAGGTCTGCTAGTCGATCATGGAGATCCTTAATGTCATCGCTTTCTCCTCCTGAGGATAGCTGTCCAGCAGTTACTATCTCTTGGTTCTGAAAGATTAACGTTGTAATCTAGTTATGCAAATTATATATTGTAGGTTTAATATATTTACTGCAAGGCCTATAGGTTATGTTTTATGCTTAAAAGCAAATATCAATAGCATTATTCCAAATTTCAAAGATAAGAAAGGGAAATCTTGAATCTAAAAGGTAATAACTGCTTACTTTATCCACATTTGGTCAACAGAGACAAAACAATAAGCCTCGAAGGAAATTAATTTCATGTTGTACAGTATCTTTACAAATTATTATGCATAAAAAAGATCGTGGGAAAACAGCCATACCCATGAAAGTTATTACCAGCAATGCATGTTCATTTATTTATTTTATTTTTTGGGGGGTGGCGGGATGGGGGTGGATTTTTAAAGAAGTATGGGAATTTTAATACCTTAAAAATACTGCATTTGAAGTATTAAACTAAGTTTTGGAAGGTATAACATGGTATTTTGATCTGTTTTCAATTGACTTAAAAAAAGAAAAACAAGATAGGCTAAGAGTTGGCTTAGCTAAAATTAATTACATATCTCAAATGCAGTATTATTAAGGTATACAAAAAATTATCATGATCATGGATAAGAGTTCCCACCCCTACCCCACCCCATTATATAATTTTAACTGAGTCCAACTGTTAAGGCTTTAATATAGTTGCTAAAGTTTTGTAATGTAATTTGGCAAGAAAAAAAAACAAATTATATGTGTGCGTGCGTGTTTAATTGTGTAGTACAGCATTTCCCAAACTGTGTTCTGTGGAACCCTAAGGTTCCATACAATATATCCAGGGGTTCCACAAGAAAATTCTGTGTAGTGTAGTTGGAGTAAAGGAGCAGGCCAGGTATGGCTTAAAAGCTTGTCAGCCTATAAATCATACCACCCTGTATTCCCCTTATCATTGGCTATTCCATTATTGGGTAGAGTCTAAATGATGACTTGCTGAAATTTAGCCACTAGTGATAGTTGAGTGCAGTGTTTTAAGGAAACAAGCTAGTCTTGAGTTTATGAATATTTTGTAACATATGACAATTAGTGTTTTCAAGTTATTGATACTACTTGGTCATGGATCGATGACTAAAAGAAGGAACTTTAAAAGTGGAAACAAGTTCTTTTGATATACTGACTGCAGCTGAAGGTGGACCATTGCAACACTTTACTGCCGAAAAATTCTTTTGAGGCACAGTACATCGTATGCAAGAAAATGTTATCCAACAGTTCCATGGCACCTGCTAAACTGTGGCAGCATTTGAAAACAATCATTCTGAATATAAAGATCAAGACAGTTTTTCAAGAGAAAGGTTAAGGTACTTACAGACAGTAAAACCTCAATGTTAAAAACTGGCAAAACAGACAATGAAAACACAACAGAGGCATCTTACAAAGTAAGTTACCACATTGCGTGTGCAGAAGAAGCACATATGATTGGAGAAAACCTCATTAAACCTTGAGTGAAAGATATTGTGAAGTCTCTACTAGATGAACAAGCTAGTAAAATCATTGAGACATTACAGCTGTCAAAGAATACTGTTGTCCATCAAATTCAAGATCTTGCTCCTTATCAGAGAATGAGCTAGTTTACAGACTGAAATTTTGTGATGCGTATTCATTACAGCTAGAAGAGTTCACTTGTGTTGGGGCTTGCAGTATTGCTTGTATTTGTGCATTACATCTTTGATAAATCTCTTGAGGAGGACCTGCTTTTAGGTGAATGTTTGCAAAGCAACACAAATGGTGAAGAAATATTCAGCTGCATTAACAACTTCATGAAAAGATATGCAATTAGTTGGGAAAACAGCAGGTGTTGTAACATGAATCAAAACTGTGGCATCAGGCTGCACCAGTAGTCACCGTGTTCTCCACAGACAAGCACTTGCTGTTAAAAAGATGCCTACATCTCTTAAAGATGTGCTGGATGAGGCAGTGCAAATTATCAATCATAGTAAAACTCAATGACTGAAATATAGACTAGTTAACATTCTGTGCAAAAAAATGGGTAGTCAGCACACAGCACTGCTTCTACATACAGAGGTGAAATGGTTGTCATTAGATAAAGTGCTTGTGAAACTTTAACTTCATTTTGATGTATTGGAATTTTGTATGGATCACCAACTTCGACTACCAGACTGTTTGTTAAATACCTCATGGCTTCCGAGACTTGCATACCTTGCAGATACTATTAAAAACTAAATAAAGTGAATCTATCACTGCAAGGAAAGGATGTTACAATTTTTACTGTAAAAGACAAAATTTCACTGATGTTGGAGAAACTGGCATTTTGGACTTTGTGCACAGAAAAAAGGAACTTTGATTGCTTCTCAAAATTGAACAATTTTCTTCCCAAAATTAATTCAATCCCTGATGAAAATATTTTCAGTGACATTACACAGCAACCTGCATGACTTACACTTCACCTTCCTGGAATATTTTCCTTCATCAAATGACTACAAAGAATTGGTGTGTAGTCCACTTGCACTAACATCTAAGCCAGTCAGCTTTTCAGAGCAAATTTATGAGAGCTTGATTGACATGGCTTCTAACTCTACACTAAAATAAAGCTTCAGCAAACTTCCATTAATTAATTTTTGGAGTATCCTAAATCACAAATACTAAAATGTGGCTAATGTGCAGTTCGTGAGCTCCTTCCCTTTGCTACAACATACTTGTGTGAAATTGGATTCTCCTGCTGCACTGCAACAAAAACAAAATACAGGAATGGATTGAATGCTGCACGTGATATGAGAATTCAGTTCTCCAGCATCACTGCCATAATAAACAGAGTTGCAAGAAAAAGAAGCAACAACATTCTTCCCATTAAAAAGGAATAAAAATTTTAAGCTGCTTTAAGATTATGTGCTATGAAGTTAAGACTTAAGTGCTTTCTTGAATAAAAACCTGTTTAATTATAATTAATGTATAAATATAAGAAATAGAAAATAAAGTTCTATAAATTTATTTGTGTATGTAGTTACCTATTGTACAAAGATAATAACTTTTTATGATTTAACTTTTTAACATAAGAATGTTTCTTACAGGTTCCGTCAATAGCTTTAGATATCAAAGATTTGGAAAACACTAATCTAATACAATGCTAAATAAAGCAAGAATTTTTAATATCAACAATATTTCTGCAAATAGTTTATCCATCACTGATAACAACTTCTTTTCCCAATAAAGATTGAAACAAAATTAAGTTTCAAAACAAGGATCATACCTAAGTGTTGGATTTTAAGCTTTTATAGACTAACTGTTTGAAACTCCCAATACAATATAATCTACTCTGTCTAAAACTGCTGATAAAACAAAATCTAGTTACCTTGATCTCTAATGATGAAATCTTCTGCTTCAGTTCTGCTATGATTTGAGTTTGTTCAACTTCCCGAATCCGTGACATTACCCGTTCTTCCTTCATCTGAGAATTAAATTTATACCAGAATCATCATTTCTGTACATATACTTTTGACAACACACATGCTGAGAGATTTATATCAAACATTGTAGTTCATAGTATGTCAAGTTTCAGTGGGTCTAATCCTTCTCTAGTGTGGAAATTTATTCCAATATATAAAATTAATCATGATAAAGTGTAAAAAACAAAACAGTAATAAGAATAATAATAATAATACCAACAACATCAATAATTATTAGGTGTTGTACTCAAGTAAAGCATCATGATATTCATTGTTACCTCTAAGTACTTATGGTGATTACTGTGAATAATCATGTTTGTTTTCAACTCTTATGTTGAAGTATAGGTAAGTGCATTGCATCCCATTTACCTCCCACACGAACAGATAATTCCTTTTTACATTCTTATTTTTTGTTTAAAGGAGGAACATCACTATCTTATGTTACAATGACCACCAATGAGACTTTTAAACAAAGCAGTAATGAAAACTTGGAGTCTGGATAGAAATAAACTGACACCAATGATTCAATTGCACATATTATAATGTTGAAAAATTATTCAATCATAACTGAGAAGAAAACTACTACTCTGGTTTTTCACACTAAAGAATCCTCTTAAACTGAATTAATTTGCCAATACAACCAGTTACTAGTGTGATCATAATGATTTGATATTTCATGTATTTAAGGATAAAAAATGAACAGATAACTGAACAAGTTTCACCACTCCCTTGCAAAATATAATAAAAAGCACATTGCAAAAAAAAATAAAAAAATTAAATAGACATGAACCATCAAAAGCTGCTTGATATACCTTCTTTCTTTAACTGCCAATAACATCAAGTACAAAAAGACATATAAATTTTTATACTGACAGCAACAAGTCTGCTGTGACGTTACAGTGCTCAATTAGTTGCACTTAGGAATAAATGAACAGTAGGTGAAATTTTAATAATTTAGCATTAACTTCACCAAATAAATATTATATTATCTTTTTCTGCTTATACATATTATAAACACACCTAAATCAACAAACCACACATTCTAACCATCGCCCTACCAATAACATTTTAAACTTTATGTAATGCCAACCTGTGAATGCAAGTCTACGTTCTTCCTTTGTTCTTCTTTCAGCTGGCTCTGAAGACTTCTTTTCTTAGCTGATACTGTTTCCAACTTTTCCTGTAATTTCTCTACTTCTTCTACTTGGCGTCGTATCTGATTCAAACTTACCTGATTCTGTGGCACAAAGAAATAAATTTATCTTCCAAAAATCTTTAAGTACTTTTAATTAAAGAATAAGGTGATTGTTATAATGAAGTCAGCTTTAAAAGGAAATACAACCTTATTTCTATTACATATTTAAATCTTTCAAAATATTGACTCATCCTACATTGCTCTAAATACAAATTTCTACTTAAAATTTCTTTAAGAGACTTGATATTTGCATATTCTTGAACTTAATAGTTTCTAATCAAGGTTGTTTCATATCATTTTACACCAAACAGTTAATAATGACTAAACTGTAAATTACATTAAAGAATCCAATTAAATAATTATTCAATGAAATTTATCAAAAATTAAACATATTATTTGCACTATTTAACTCTTACACAATGACCACATTTTTTCCAAAATTTATTACTCGAGTTTCTAAACCTAAATATGGGTGCATACACCAAACTGATATTTCAATATTTCTCATAATTATGTATGATTAACAGAATTTCAGCTTGTAAAATGTTTTATAAAAACTTCAAAACAAGGGCATTACAGCTAAATATAAAAAACAAAATGTTGTATTTTTTTTCTTATTTATTTGAGAATATTTAATCTAACCTACCAAATATAATAAATTATCACCACACAAAATCACAGAGTGACTGGCTAAGATTATGTTAAAATAAACCGATAATTGGCATAGCTAAGCATTACGATTTGTGTGCAGGTTTTGATATATAAAACAGGGATAGGGGCACAATTTTCTCTGACTTTTCCAAGTTTTTCAATTTCCTCAGAACTTGTAAGCCCCCTTTCCTAAATTCCCTAATATTTCCAGTGTCATGGCTACCTACCTTAGCATATATTATAGCAGTACTTTTGACAGGCACATTTTACCAGTGCAATTATTTCTTTACTAGTTTTTTAACTGTACAAAATTTGAATATTTCTCAAAATGGTAATATTTCATGAAATTTGCAGTTATGATTACATTCTTTGAAAACCCAACATTTTCTAAACTTAAAATAAAAAGAAATATTTCTTTAAGCATTAGGTGTTTATTTCTTGCATAGTAATACTTAAGTGACAGACCATTGTTTTATAATTTTAAACAAACCTACTCAAGAAATATCTGTGCATAGTCCCTAATTTTGAGCTTATAGACTAAAGGGAAGGCAGGAAGTCAATAGAACCCATCACCAACTCCTGGGTTACTTTTGTCTGACCAAATAGTGGGGTATGATGATCACTTGTATAGTACACTTATGGCACCAAAGTGTACAGCATGGTTTTTTAGAGCAATGGGACAAACCATGAACTCCCACATTCACAGTCCAGGCATGCTGTCCACTATGTCGTGCCAAACTCAACACTGACAGAAAGTGTAAAGATTACAGGTAATAAAGTGAGGAAAAAAAACATTTTTTTAATCAATAACCTATGCTACATGCAAATTTTTCTGCATTTCCATGGGAAATTTATTTATCTTGAAGCTCAGTAGTGTCTTGATAAATGATGAACTAAGTTACCTTCACAAGTATACTCAGCATTTATCAAGACACTACTGAGTTTCAAGATAATTAAATTGATGAACTTTAAGTTACCTTCACAATATACTCATCAATTTCAGACATTTACAGCATCTTATAACTTACTGCAGTTGAATGTCACTATTGTTTAAGGTTTTGTGCCTATTATTGTAAAGTGCTAAAACAGGCCTCAATACTAACAAATCTTGCTTCAAGTTCTTGATCAGTTACATTAGCATATAAATCATTATGTAGCTTTAAGAAATAAAAACTAACAATTTAAAAGTTCATTTTGACAACATATTCAATGCTTGGCATACTCAAGATTGGAAAGTATATCTAAAGATATTTCAGTTATTGTTTTTTCTCAACTGAGAGTCATGAAATGATGAGTTTCTCTAACCTGAGTTTCTAGTTCCATAATTTTCTGCCTCAGTTCCTTCAGTTCTGCTGTAACATCTGCTTCATGAAGTTTTGCTGAAAGCAAATCTTCCTGTAACTGGACAAGCATTGTTTTCTCCTGTTTTTTAGATGGTGACGGGCAGTTGGTTTGTGACTCACTTAAGTGTGTCTGGAATAGAAAACAAAAGTATTCACCCATCAGAATTCGGTTCTTTATTCACCTCTTCACATACCTTTGTGTAAGAGCATAACACAAACACAAAACAAATGCTGTTTAATATTTGCTTAAAAGCACTGTGTAATCACTGTTACACCACAAACAGTTGCACTTAATCATACATTTTAGACAGTAATTCACAACTGCCAGGCTCTGCTAATTTTTGCATCAGGTGATTCAGGCTACAAAGAACATGTAAAGTAGCATCATAAATACATAAACATGCAAGATATTTCAATAAATAAACAAATTAATACTGTATAAATGGCAATATAAAAGAAAGCAGGAAGTTCAGTACCTGATACCAATTAATAAAATAATTCACCATTCGTTAATGGGATAAATTACACAGCAGTAGCCAAGTTACTCACCATCAGATAAAGAATATTTATATTTTAGCACCTTATTGTAAAAGCCATATTTTGTCTTCCAGTAGATATGCTACATCACCCTGTCAGATTTTGAGATGAGGGTCTTGGGCAGGCTGTTTTGATATGATTATTAAGTACCAAAGCATTGTTCTAAGGCACTTGCATATTTTCCTTGATTTTAAGATAATAAAAAAAGTTTGAAAAATTCTGCTTAAGTCATTACAAACTAAAATGCCTCTTTTCCACTTCCATTTAAAGTATTGTACAGAAATATAAAATAATTTATCATGTTCAAAATTTTGACTCTGCATTTTTCAGTAATGATGAGTAAAAACAATAAATACACTATGAATTGCAGCTGCAAACTGATAAACAAACTTTTGTATATTAAACATTTTTCAATTTTTACCTTAAGTATAGGAAGATTTTTACAACTTTGTAGATCATGCTTTCATTTTTGTGAACATGACATTTTATTGGGTTCTTTAGATAATTTCAGCATTAATGTTATACATTTATAGACTTCAAATAACTTAAAAGAAAGATAAAAATTAACATTTTTCGATTATACATCAAACGAAACATTAATAAATGCAGGATGATAAACTTGACATTTGGAAAAATGGAAAGATATTTTGTTTCAAATCTCACCTCCCACATCAGATAGAGATCTGCAACTTTCTGTCGAAGTTCCTTCATAGCCAAGTGACCCTCAGCTTCTCGCAGTTTACTGGCAATCAACTCTTCTTGTAGGTTAGCAATGGAATTATCAGGTTTAGTTTCTCGCAGTATTTTATTGTCCTAAAAATCAACGTAACAAAAATATAATAAAATAATTATCCAACCAATTTTACTCAGCTTATTTATTCAAAAGGAAACCTTCCTTTATAACTTGAGCACAGATGCAGAAATTCTAGAATTTTAAAGTAGCATTCTTTTAGTAATTTTTTTTTCCGTGTTCAAGAACATACATCTTTATAATGATTGTTCTCTATAGTAATTAAACTGAACATTTTTTAAAATTTTTAATAAGCATTGTTCGCATATAATTCTTAGATGAAACTTCTCATATTTTTTTGTTTATACTGTCCTATTAACTACACAACTGAGTGTGTAAAGAATTAAAACTATAAATATTTCACTTTCTTTAGCTTCACAAAACACATTTTAAGTCAAATAACATTTAACTACTTGCACAACCTCTTCAAGCTCCTGAATTTTCTGTCGTAAGTGTTCTATAAGATCTTCTTTCTCTGCATCCCTGAGCTTCACAGCTACCAGCTCCTCCTGCAATGACTTGATAATGTCATCTGTATACATGTCCAATGAAGGAGGCTGAGAACCAACCTAAAAATAAGAGATCAGTATATCTTAAAGAATAAAAAAAAAACTATCAAAAACTGTCACTAGCATAAATGTATGATTGTAACTCAATGATATGTCTTGATCAGCATCCCGTAACATGTATTACATACAACAAGGCAATGTATTCAATAGAATCTCCACATAAAATGTCATTTAGAAAGACAATGGATTATTCAATTAATGTTATTAGACTTAATTGGACTAATAAAATTGATGAAACAAAATGAAAACACGAAACACTGGACCTTATATAAACTTATATGCATGAAACAAGTATTCTTAAACCACCATATTTTTAAAATATATATACATAAATATAAATATTCCAGGAAAATTTCTACTGGAAATAATGTTAAATACTTTTTAAACTTATGAATAATTTATTGTTATAGAAGATATTGGTCAAATATTTGCATAAACTTGGCAAATCCTCTACCTTGTGCAATTCTTGAATTTGCTTGTAGGCTTCTTTTAGTTCTTGTCTTATTGAATTTTCCTTATCCCGCAGAGCAACTAGTTCCCTCTTGATTACAAAGTTGTCTTCTGCTTCCTGAGCTCGACTAACCTGTCCTTGTATTAACCTATCAGCTAATGTAGTACTTTCCTGTTGAAATTGCAATAACAACGTCAGCCTGTGTAACACTGATGCTATTAGATACAAATGGAAATTAAAGCTCACTACCTGTTCTTAAACATTAAGAACTGATCATTTTACATATAAAATATTTCTCCATATGCCATACTGATGACAAAAATTATTTTACTCATTTAGAAATAACTTCATTGACCATAAGAAATAATGTAGCATTATTTTGCTGCTGACCTTTATTCAAGTTTCATTATGTTTACAGAACATGATTCAAGTTTCTTGTTTTCATAGCCTTAGCCAAATAAAAAAAACTAACAAACATGCAATGTTGTTTCAAGCATTGCTACTAGATGAAACTAATTACCTGCTCTAGGTTTTCAATCCTTTGTTTGAGAATTCTATTTTCTGTCCTTAATCTCTGAAAAAAAAAATCTAAAGATAATATTCAGTTATTATGATAATTATTTTATAGCTGATAAACTGTTCTCATTACCTACATTTTGTCTTAACTATGAATGAATTTCCTTAAAATGATAGGGACAATGCTGAGGAAAAATAGTGATTTAAGATAGCATAAAAGTTGCCAGATGTTCTCTTGCAATTTCACATATTCTTTTAGGGTTACTGACCACATTACATAGGTAATAATAGTTAAATGTGGGAAACAAAAGACACTGAAAATGTTCTTAGTTGTTTAATTACTTCAACAGTATTTTGCCTATGGCTTTAATTATAAATACCACACAAAAATTAACAGTATAAAATACTGAGCATAAAGAGCAACTACAGATCCTTACCAGGTTAATTTGAACACCCCATGAAATAGAGGAATAGAATCAAGTTTCCATTGAAGAGAAACCCTGGCAGGGATCAGTAGAACTGTCCAATTAAGCCAACAAATGTCTCAAGAGGTTGTAATAAACTTTGCTATCACACACAAGTTGCTTAAAGAAAATCCCTAATGACAGATGTCAACAAGGTTTCAGATGTTCACAGAGATAGCAGATGATAAACTGCCCAGTGCAGTTCTGGAGAGATCCTTCAGTTTGATTGTCTATAACCACCAGTCAAATATGGAGGTTGGCATGCTATGGTGTAGCATATGGTACAATGGCAAAACTTATCTGAGCTCCAAAGGTCCACTACATAAAGATATTTTCAGCCAATCTCCTACCATTGTTTACCTAAGGTCATCTTCATTATAACAACGATTTTTGGAACAATATGGGACCTATTGGTCCATCTTCTAAACTAAACTAAAACTATCAATAAATAAATTTTAAAAATATTTTTAAAGCCAGCCCTTATCATTCATATAATTATCAAGCTTTCTCTTAAATTAATTAAATTTACTCCTTCCACAATATCCAAAAGCAACCCATTTCAAAGGCCAAACCACCCTGTTAGAAAAACAAGACTGTCTCAGCTGGTGATGACTCCTACCCTGCCAAAATTTATATACGTGTCCCCCTAGTTCTACTGTTAAGTATAGAAAAATATGATGCATCAACACTATCAATTCCCTTTACAATCTTAAACACCTTAATCGGATCCCCCATAACTTCTCTTTCAAGAGAAAACAATTTCACATGTTTCAACCTATACTCATAT